CCATGGAAGAACGAGATCAGAATTTGCAAAAATTACAACGGAAAGCAAGAATCAGAGGTATCGTCCTAGCAGTCTCTGGCTCTGGTCTGGTACCATAATAACAAGGGAAACTAAAGAAAAAAATTTGAGTGGGTTTGGCAGAGATATGGTTTGTGGAGTGTGAATGAATTTTGTTATCAATTTGAGGGTTCATGGTTTCGAGCGGATGAGTGGGGGCATCTACACACAGTGAGCATTAGCTGGCTCCGTCCTTGTTCTCCACCAAGCCCAAAACTCAGAGAGAGGGAGACCTGAGAGAAAACATTAAAGGCTCATTTGGGAGTGATTCTGGATATGCCAGAATCACTTCTAGGAAGAAGCATCTCCCATGTGCTTCTCCATATAATCACTTTAAGTGATTTTATGTGATTATGGGAAGAAGCAGCTCCCATGTGCTTCTTCATAAAATCACTTAAAATCATTTAAAGTGATTATATGGAGAAGTGATTCTCTATATAAGTGCTTTTTGGCCTATCCAGAATCACTTCCAAACGAGCCCTAAATTGGGTTGGGATCTGGGTTTTGAGGGGGTGGGATAAGGAGGAGGGTGAATGGGTTGTAGAAGAGAGGGAGACCTGAGAGAGAAAGGGATTTGGATTTCTATTTTTTATTTTTAAGTTTATTTATTATTATTATTTTTTGCACTTTTTTCTGTTTTTTTTTTCAATTTTTAAAATTTAAAATATTTTAATTGAGATGGACGGTTTTAGCCCTCAAATTAACAGCCAAATTGACGGAAGGACTCAATTCGAACGAATGAGAGAGTTGGATTACCTAATTACCTAAACAAAAAGTTCACGGACCCAATTGCAACTAGGGGCCAAGTTCATAGACGTTTATAGTAGATAACCCATAATGAAATTAAGTGGAATAAAACTTGGCTCCCATTGATTTTGCATATAAAAAATGAACGGCATAACCAAAATCGTATTAAATTTCCCATTAACACTTTTGGGAATAACCTCATACAGTAAATCAATGAACCAATGCAATTTCCTTTCATTTACCTACCTTACAAGCTTGAAACAAAAACCTTAATGCTTATTAGTGATCATAAATTCAATGAAAGGTAAAAGTCATTGATTAACACATCTAAACAATCTTTGTTCGTATTAGCTTAAAACCCTTAATGGGGAACTGGAACCTTAAGTGATTAATCATAAAAAGTCAAAACTAAACATATGCAACAAAGAAGATCATTGAATGCTTCCACTCATCGAATGCATATTTTGCAACGAAAACATGTATTAAGAAATGAGCATAGAACAAATCATATTATTTTCACTGAAATCATTTCTTTAGGATTAGGCCTCAACTTTAAATATCAATTAAATTTTCTTTAACCAATACAAGCTAAAAACTGTAAGCATTGTAAGAACTTCAGTAGCCAAAAACGAAACTGCCAGTCATCCAAACATTAGTAAAAAACATATAGATGCATAAAACCAACACTTAAGATGTAAAAATTTAACGTGTCTGACAGCAAATCCCTTTTTCCACTCTTTTTCAAATCCTTTCTTAGTTTTCTCAAACAATATGAAATCCTTTCAAAACCATTCAAAATTCCAAGTTCGTATCGATAAATAATTAAATAAATGAAATCCCCTTTTTAACCCGAGATTAAAACCCTAATTTCACTATTTGACTTCCAACCAGTAAAAATCTTATAAAAACATTCTCAAAGTAAATCAGAAAAATAACCCACAATTAAAATCCTTACTAAATATATAATTAACAATCTCGCATATTTACCACCGTTAAACATATATAACCATTCACAAACATTTTCCCAAACTTCCCAAGCAAATCACGTTTATCAACATGCATAATTGATTAAAGTCATTTGGAACCAAAACTGAATGCTAGGAAAAATAAAAAACCAACTTACATCATCCATAAACATTTAATAACTCTTTAGTTGTAAAAACCATCATAGTACGAAGGAAATTGTCAAAACCATAATTAAAACATAATTAAATTACTTCCACCCAAAACCAAATGTTTAGAAAGTAAACACCGGAAACAACTTACATGCAAGCATCATTTGATAAAAACTATTTATAAAATAAATGTCCACTCACACACGGTCCAACACATGGTCCAGAATTAATTGAATAATCAAACCCAACACTGAAATTTAAATCAATACCCTAGCGCTCAGGAATCACAGTGGGTGCACGTCCTTTAAGAAAATCCCTAAGGCCATTTTAGTACTTAACAAGCGACGAGACAGTCCCAAAAGACCCCTGGTCAATTGTCTCGTCAAACTAGTCATTCTAGTCAACCGCACCAGCTGGGTCCATGACCTCCAATTTCCGATAAAAAGTTCCTACAGGTCCAACAAAGTTTACTCAAAAGACCCTTGGTCAATTGTCTCGTCAAACTAGTCATTCTGGTCAATCAAGCCCATTGGGCCCATGGCCTTCAATTTCCAATCCAAAAGTTCCTATAGGTCCAATAGAGTTTACTAAACACGTTCTAAGAGTTTGGTCTTGATCGAGTGGTCGGATCGCTCTTGATCGAGTGGTCGGATCGCTCTCGATCGGATGGTCACTGGTTTTCTTAACCCTAAACTTATTGATTCGGAGTATCAGGAACTCTGATTCTTGATCCGAGAATTCCTACACGATCCTCGAGATACGGGAAACAACATACTTGGAATTGGAGCTGATCCAACGGTCCGAACATATCGAACATGGATATCGCCTAATAGGCATAAATTTGTTCGATTGTCATACGATAACCAAATAGGAATCAGAGCATACTGTCATGCTCAAGACGATATGGGGATCAAGTCATAACACAATGGGCCACCACACCATGGCCTAAGCGCCGCCACACATGCAGGCAGCGCGTGGGTGGCTTGAGAAATTTTCAGCGATGGAAATTTCTCAAATCATCTAAGAATACCTACACCTACGTGATCAAGGCAACTAGGGGAGCAACTTATACAACTGGGCTGACCTCCAATTTGGCCGGGAAGGGGCCAGAAAATCACTTCAAAGACCAGAAATTTCTAGGTTTAAAATCAAACTTCCAAAACTCCAAATCGACCCAAACCAACTACCAAAACATCAAGAACACACAAAGAGGATGAAAAAGCACACCTTACTCCAGTCGGAAACGAGGACGGCTCGAAATCACGGCTCGAAATCGTGACTTTTCTCCTCCTTCCAGTCGCTTCACGGCTCGAAATCAGGTCTGGAAAATTGGTGGGTCATGTAGAGGAGGTGGAGATGATCGTTTTGCAAGTTGTGGCATCAGATTTGGTGGCCGGACGGCAAGGCTATTGCCATTTGAACCGAATTCTAGTCTCAATCCAATTCATACAAAAACTCTCCACCCAAGCATACCTATGGGGAAACTGACCAACCTTGTGTAGACAACCGGCAGGGTGGTAAGGAACATCTTGGGAACAATCATCACTGGCCGGACGCTCGTGTTTGTAGTACGAGTACATGCAATACACATATTGGTTGGACACCTATAGAGTAATATCTATACAAGTACAAGCAATATCCACTGGCCGGACACCTACCAACGTAGGTACATGCAGAAATCACTGGCCGGACACCTACCACGCAAGTACAGGAAAGACACTCTGGCCAGTCACCTACCAACGTAAGTACAGTAAACACATTGGCCAGACACCTACCCACGTAGGTACATGCAATTTCCACTGGTCGGACACCTACCACCGTAGGTACAGGCAATACCCTAGTCATGTGTACATACACTATCAAAGTCAATCGTTATATTTTTTCGAAGGCAACTGGGAATCGGTACCTAGGGTGGGTTTGAAATCCATTCTCAACATTTTTTCATAGAAATTCCCTTTTCAGCAAATCCCTTTTTCCACTCTTTCTCAAATCCTTTCTTAGTTTTCTCAAAACAATACAAAATCCTTTCAAAACCATTCAAAATTCCAAGTACGCATCAATAAATAATTAAATAAATGAAACCCATTTTTTAACCCGAGATTAAAACCCTAATTTCACTATTTGACTTCCAACCAATAAAAATCTTATAAAAACATTCTCAAGGTAAATCCGAACAATAACCCACTGTTAAACATATATAACCATTCACAAACATTTTCCCAAACTTCCCAAGCCATTTTAGTACTTAACAAGAGCAAATCCCTTGAGAAAATCCCTAAGGCCATTTTAGTACTTAACAAGAGACGAGACAGTCTCAAAAGACCCCCGGTCAATTGTCCCGTCAAACTAGTCATTCTGGTCAACCGGGCCCACTAGACCCATGACCTCTAATTTCCTATCCGAAAGTTCCTATAGTCCAACAGAGTTCACTAAACATGTCCTGAGAATTTGGTCTTGATCGAGCGGTCAAATAGTTCTCGATCGCACGATCGGACAGTCACTGGTTTTCTTAACCCTAAACTCATTGATTCGGAGTATCCGGGACTCTCATTCTTGACATGCGAATTCCTACACGATCCTCGAGGTATGAGAAACAACATACTTGGAATTGGAGCCGATACAAGGGTCTGAACATATTGAACCCGGATATTGCCTAATAGCCATAAATTTGTTCGACTGTCATACGATAACCAAATAGGAATCTAAGCATACGGTCACACTTGGGACGACATGGGGATCAAATCAGAACACACACGCAAGCAGCGCGTGGGTGGCTTGAGAAATTTTCAGCGACGAAAACTTCTCAAATCACCCAACAATACCTACGCCTACGTGATCAGGGCAACTAGGGGAGCAACTTGTACAACTAGGCCGACCTCCAATTTGGTCGGGAAGGGGCCGGAAAATCACTTCAAAGGCTGAAATTTTCTAGGTTTAAAATCAAACTTCCAAAACTCCAAATTGGCCTAAACCAACTACCAAAACATCAAGAACACACTCAGAGGATGAAAAAGCACACCTTACTCCAGTCGGAAGTGATGACCGAAAAATTGTGACTTTTCTCCTCCTTCCAGTCGCTTCATGGCTCGAAATCGGGTCTGGAAAATCGGTGGGTCATGTAAAGGAGGTGGAGAGGAGCGTTTTGCAAGTTGTGGCGTTGGATTTGGTGGCCGGACAGCGACGCAGTTGCTATTTGAAATTCCAACTTCGAAACGAAGAGAGAGAGACGTCGAGGGGAGGAGAGAGAAGACGAGGGTGGGGCTTTTCTGATGCGTGTACATGTCTGACTGGGTAGTTTTAGTTTGAACAAATTTTAAAATGACCAAAAAGTCCTTTTTGAGTTCCACAACTCAGGTTCGAGCGTGCCGCCAGTCTGAGGACTCGTTTCGACGAGCTCGTCACAACGATGCAATAATTCCTTCCTGATTAAAAAGTGACGAAGAAGACCCTACTTCCAGGGGCAAAATTGGAATCTCACAAAAAGAGATTAAATTGAATTAAATAATTGAAAATATGGTTGGGGATGTTACAGTGTCAACAACGAGAAAGCATTTCCAAGTATGCTCCAAAACCTTTATGAGCTTTATCAAAATACAAGCTAATAAGGTATTGAGTGTGAAGCCCAAAACTTTACATCACTTCTCCCACTTGGACAAACACTCACTACTTTGCTACTTCAATATAGTGCACCAATAACCTTATGATTAGAAACACTGTGACAAATTGGTGTAAAAGAACTTTCAAGGCTTGCTCCTAATGCACAAAATTGTCAAGAAATTTCCAGCAATGATATGTGATTACTTGAGAATTTAACATAATTAATTTATAAGTCGGATTAGTATAAAATTTCATGAAAACAAACTGGAGGCATTAATCTTCATACATCAAAATTAGTGAGTCGTTTGATAGCTAATTAAAAAATCTAAAATTGACCTAGAAGGTTATGCAGAAAATCTGCCAGCACATACTTTTCCTGAGCACAGATCACTTATAAAATTCTCACAAATAACCTACACATCCAATAAACACAAAATTTTGTAGCATTCAAGAAGATACGTATATTCTCAACATACCAAAATTTCAGGCCATTCAACAATCTCTGTACATAATGCATAAACTGTCAGGAAAATTCCTGTGCATCTGTTTCAACTTTATAAATTCACCAAAAATTCAATTCTCAACATATTTTCATGAAATCAGCGCCTACAGAAACCTTAGAAAATCATCCTTCTTGCCTAATTTTTTCATTATTTAATTAGAATTACAACTTCACTCTAACAGATGACATGTTAGCGTAGTTCAAAACAAAATAAATTGTCAACTATAAATTTATGAATGCTTGCAATATACACCTCAAAATTTAATTATCCTTATCCATTCTAAAAATACAACATTAAGTTCCATGTAGGTGCAAAAAAATTAATACCATATCAAAAAGGTAAAATATAAAATATCTCTTTATCAAGTTTAAACACTCTGAGCAATCAAAAGATCGTTTGTGTCTTGAGTAGTTTGTATATTGCAATGTGCCACTTTTGATTCAAAACAAAATTAGTGAGCCTTAATCCAAAGTGCAATTTGATCCATGCAACCTATTCAATTAAGAAATAACAGTAATACGATGTCCTTAAACATGATCTAAGCTTCATATTGCATGACATTTTCTTCAAATTGTAATAAAAATTTATCCAAAATTTGCTATGCAAAAGCCCAAGTTTTATATAGGTGATCATTCAAAATATTATCCTTCCTTGGGTATTTAGATCATCTTTCCTAATAATGAGCATGAATTCTATATAACATGACATATAATTAGACGTTGATAAAACTGAGAATTAAAAAACTGCGATGCAATATGCAAGGCAATAAATTGAGATGCTACTTAAATGCAATACATCTGCAAATTAATACTTGTAATGCACGTAGACTTATATTCACAAAACAAATTTCTTAGATTCAAAACTAAAAGTCTCAACTATAATAGTAATCATGCCCCAAACACATGCAGCAACACCAAAATTATTACAGACTTTACAAAACAGCCAATTTATTTTATGATGAACACAACCTTATGGATTAATCCAATTTTACATGATTCAGTCCATTAAATACGGATTAATACTTTTAACGTGTGGATCAGTCCAACTGTACATGGTTTAATCCAAATCACATACGAATGAATCCTTTTACATATGAAGTTGCATTGATGCTACAAAACATTCATTTAAATGCATACAAAAGGCAACCAAGTCTCAAACATGTCCATATGTAAACAAACAACGTAGCCAAGTAAGAAAGTTCCGAAGTAGGTCATGTTTGCCTTTATGTGATCAACCAAAATTATATTTCCTTGAGTCATGAAAACAACTTTTATGACTATTTAAGATTACTATGAATAAATTATCATCAAGAATTCAAACCCGTGAGATTTATCAAAACTGATAAATAGGACATGTATCATGTTACAATCCATATAACAAAAACAAAACCGTATATGCGCCTAATGGAGTTAAGGTTCATTGTGACATTCCGAAACAAATTTAAGCACAAACATACTTGAATAAGTTGTCCCATAATGTTAAAATATCTGTATATTATTGATTCACACTTGTGGGTTGAAAATCAAACATGTTTTTAGTGATCACCAAAAGAATTCATATATGAATTCATTTCATAGGTTAAATCCCCACTTTGTGGATAAAGAGAAATTCCTATTAATTCACATATGTTGTCTTTTGCATCACTCCACCATGAATATACATGGATAAAATATCCCCAAAATCTTTACTTCAATACGTTAATTTATATATGTTGGTGTAAATTACCATATTCCAAAATCCCATACAATAAATTGCATAAACTTCCTGTACAAGAAAACTCACATATGTGGATGTAGAGAAGACTTGCTAGTTTATGCAGTCTGCTATCTGGATTGTTCCATCATATTGTTATCAATCTGTACAATTCCCATATGTGGATGGAGAATAATACAGAAGGCTACTAATATAGATGCAATTATTGACCAAATAGTTGAGTTTAAAACCTTCTCATACAAACTGAGCAGCTGTGGCTCACTTAGTTTGCATAACAGATTCCAAATCATTGATCAAAAGTCCTTTATCTTTATAGCATAATCAAGCAGTAATAACTTTATGCCCTTGATCATACCTTAGCAAATAAGATACGCAATTTATTTAATCAAAACGTTAAATAGATTTCTCAAAAGGTTAAAACATGGATATTAAATCATGTTATAGGTCTTCCACAAGTTGTCAATTCTTTATTATGATAAAATTGATTCATAAGGATTAATTCCTACAAGTCCAAATTAATTGCAACATGTCCGTGATAACTTAAGCCAGCAACTTGATATGCCTCAAAACACGATGAGTCCTTTAAAGCAACTCCACCCATTTGCCTTTTGCCATGGCAAGGGGATGTGGGGCTAGGGCAGCCACTATTTACATGAATAGTGGCTTACTATTTATTTTTTGTTTTTTTCACAAAGTTTTTTACCTCAATAATTAATTTGGATAATATTTTCGGATAAGATTTTCGGGTTCATACGTGCCAATACTATTCATATCTTATAATCGGATAAAATTTTCGGATAAGATTTTTGGTTTCAAAATTCAAATTTCAGATAAATTTCAAATTTCAAATTTAAGATGAATTTCAACATTCAAATTTCAGATAAAATTTTCACCCTCTAAAATCGCACCACGTGTCATCTTTATCAGCCCAAAATTTTCTATAAAACCAGAGGCTCAGCTCATACCTCTCACACCACATCTTCTCTATATTTTCATTTCTCAGAGTTTAGACAAGCGAGAAACTAGAGGCTCAGCTCAATGGATGACATGAGTAGGATCTTGGAGAGCCAAGAGCGAGAAACTAGAGAAAGAAGGCATAGACGAGCTGAAGGCAAAAGGGTGCAGGGAGAACTAGATCAACAAATTGTCATAGCAATGGCTTTGCTTGATGAAGAATACAACTGTTATACAAATGCTCAATTATGATGATTACTTTGTTCAAAAGTGTGATGCTGCTGGGGTTTTGGGACTTCTTCCCGAGCAAAAGATTACAGCTGTTATACGAATGTTGGCGCATGGTTCATCTGCTGATCAGATGGATGAGATTGCCCGGATGGGGAAGTCTCTCAAAGTGACTTGAACGTGCTGGGTCAATCCCCAGTGTTCAATGATGTTTTGAGAGGTGAAGCCCGAATATCACCTATGAAATCAATAATACCGTATACCATAATATGTATTATCTAGCAGATAGCATCTACCCGAGGTGGACTACATTTGTGAAATCTATTCCACATCCCCAATCCGCGAAGCAAAAATTATTTGCTGCCTATCGAGAGGGTTAGAGAAAAGATGTGGAGAGGTGTTTTGGTATCCTCCAAGCCCGGTGGCTTATTATTAGGGGTGCGGTGCACTTGTTTGATGAGGAGGTGTTCATGAGCATAATGATGACTTGCATCATCCTTCATAATATGATTGTGGAGGATGAGTATGATTACGATACTGCAGAGGTCTACGAACTGGATCCCATGAATACGGCCTTGACACAAATTTTTGAAAGGCCCATGGGGCCAAGTGGAGAACCATTGGTGCATGAACCGTTGGTTAGGGACGACAGTTTCATGACCCGTGTAATTGATCGATATACGGAGATGCAATCGTCTTATATTCATGAACGACGTCAAGTTGACTTGATGGAGCATTTATGGGCGGTGAAAGGCAATGACGGTGAATGAAGTGAAGTGAAGAAGTTTTGTTTTTAGTTATGCTTTGGTTGTGGTTTTTTTTATTTATGATTTGGTTGTGGTTTTTTTATTTATGATTTGGTTGTGGTTTTTTTTTATTTATGCTTTGGTTGTGGTGTGTTTTGTTTTTATGTTTTGTTTCATGTATGGAATTTTTTGAATAAAAATAATTTTTATTGAATGCTTTCTTTATTCACTCAAATAAAACCAACACAATTAATTAAGAATTACTACTAATTAAATGAAATACATGAATTACAACAATTTTTTAAAACAAAACATTAAAAAAAAGTTAACTAACTTAATGGTTTTGATCATTTAACCAATCTGTGTTGCTAGGTCCGTCGTCTCGAAAAAGTCTTCTTCTCATAACATCCCTTCGTTCTAGCTTCCAAAATTGTTTTGTTTCAGGAGATATATGCCTTGTATCCATGGCCATGGTTTCCCGATCTTTCTTCTCAATGTTTTCTCTGCATGCATACTCCATTTCTTTTGCATATTCTACTTGAATTGCCCTCTCGTCTTCTTGGGCTTTCAAGTCTATTTCAATTCTCAAGGCGCTTTGCCTTGCAATTTCCTCCAAAAATTTAGATGTATTATTGCTAGAATTACTCACTCTCTTCGCCTTCGCCGCCTTTCTCCCAATAGGACTTGGCTCCTTTTGGATGAGTAAGTCTTGACTCATCGGGGAATCCATAGGCGAATCCGATGCCGGTGAATTATGGAGTGGCGTCTCGTTCAACACAATGGTTGGACACGTTGGAATAATTCGGAATCTTTGACAATTCTTCACCACCTCCCAACATTGGTCCTGGTTGAAAACTTTTTTGCCTTGCCCAATAGCACCAAACCACATTTGTGCTTGCATAATCTATATAAAAAAACAAAAACAAAATGGAAATGCAAAAAACATTTACAAATTGTTTAGAAATGCAAGAAACATTACAAATTATTGGAAATGCAAGAATTATTAAGAAAAAATTGGAAATGCAAGAAATATTAACAAAATATTGAAAATGCAAGAAATATTAACAAAATATTGAGAATGCAAGAAACATTAAAATATATATATATATATTAGGACATTAAACTTAATAAAACGTAAATTACAAACTATTTACCTCGCTACTAAGATTTTCCCCGCTTCTATGGTTCTCGCTTTTGTCGAGGCATCTCTCCATTTTCCCAACTCTTTATTGAGAATTTTCCACCTACTAGACAATGTCATTTCCGTACGAGTCAACCTCGGAACTCTTTCACAAAATTCGGCGTGAATTTTTTTCCACATATTGTTTGTACAATATCTGGCCAAGCACTCCCAAGCAAATCCAAGCAAAGGAAAGGGAGTCCCACATCGACAAAACATAAGAAGAGGGGACTCTCCCTCACTTATGAAAGGAGACTCATCTCCTTCAAGAAAGAGAAAGTTAGACAGGCTACTAGGGCACTATATGGCTCATAAGGGCCTCATGGGCTTACTCCTAAGCCTATTTACAAGCCCATGGATCATTTGCCTTCAGCCAGATCCTCAGTCTTCGGCCCTCAGCCTTCGACCATCAGCCTCCGGCATTCTTCCTCCTCTCCTTGGGTCTAACCCTATGTGCAATGTATACAGTCTTTATCATAATGAGAACATACTTCTCCGTAGACGTAACCCATTATTCGGGTGAACCACGTACATTTGTCTTCTGTATGCATGCCTATGTACTTACCGAATGCTCTCACATACCAAGGGTCCTCACCTTCATCATCCTCCTCCTCATCTTTAAGTTGGTCTAATTACTACTGTCTAGTTTTTACCTCCAACAGATTGGCGCCGTCTGTGGGAAGCGACACGAAAGGCTATGTCATTCTCCTTCTCGATTGCCCTCGGCACCCTACAACAAGTGCCCCTCAGCACTCTTACATTCAATACCCTCGCCACCCTTGTGAGCGCTGCCCTCGGCACTTCCTACAATCTGTCGTCGGCACCTTTGCATCATTCGGCGCGTGCGATGTCTTCACATCCCCCCAATGATTCGGCATCTGCCTTCGACACCCTTACGTCATTCGGCGTGCGATGTCTTCACATCCCCCAATGATTCGGCATCTGTCGTCGACACCTCTACGTCATTCGACGTGTGATGTTTTCACATCCCCCAATGATTTGGCATCTGCCATCGGCACCTTTGCATCATTCGGCGCGTGCGATGTCTTCACATCCCCCCAATGATTCGGCATATGCTTTCGGCACCCTTACGTCATTCGGCGTGCGATGTCTTCACATCCCTCAATGATTCGGCATCTATCGTCGACACCTTTACGTCATTCAGCGTGTGATGTTTTCACATCCCCCAATTGTTCGACATCTGCCATCGGCACATTTGCATCATTCGGCGTGTGCGATGTCTTCACATCCCCCCAATGATTCGGCATCTGCCTTTGGCACCCTTACGTCATTCGGCGTGCGATGTCTTCACATTCCCCAATGATTCTGCATCTGTCGTCGATACCTTTACGTCATTCGGCGTGTGATGTTTTCACATCCCCCAATGATTCGGCATTTGCCATCGGCACCTTTTCATCATTCGGCGCGTGCGATGTCTTCACATCCCCCTAATGATTCGGCATCTGCCTTCGGCACCCTTACGTCATTCGGCGTGCAATGTCTTTACATCCCCTAATGATTCAGCATCTGCCTTCGGCACCCTTACGTCATTCGGCGTGTGATGTCTTCACATTCCCTCAATGATTTGGCATCTGCCTTTGGCACCCTTCCATCATTTGGCGCGTGCGATGTCTTCACATCCCCCAATGATTAGGCGTTTGCCTTCAGCCCAAAGCTTACGGCATTGGGCCTCCTAAGCTTCCCAAGCTTACGGCAGCAACCTCTAAAGCTTACGGCTGCAACTACAGCATCAACTTTAAGGCATCAGTTCCCAAACACTTGCATTGCCAAACGGCACCCCACGGGTAACACTTTTTTTGGCGCCTCTTCTCAAGGCCATGCTGAATGGCAGCTTCCATACAGCAGTTCCAAAGCTTAACACGGCAGCTCCTAACTTACTGCATCAGCTCCCAAGCTTTCGGCATCAGCTTCCAAAGCTTACGGCGGCAACTCCCAAGCTTTCGACATCAGCTTTCGAAGCTTACGGCAGCAACTCCTAAGAAACGGCATCAGCTCCCAAGCTTACGACAGCTCCTAAAGCTCCAACGGCATCTTCCAACTCTTGCGTTGCCGAACGGCACCCCACAGGTGACACTTCTCCAGCGCCTTTTCTCAAGGCCATGCCGAACGACACTTTTCACTTACGACGCCAAGGCTACCTGCTGGCACCTCATGAAGAATAAACAGAATCAGCTCCCAAGCTTTCGGCATCAGCTTCCAAAGTTTACGTTGGCAGCTCCTAAGTTTTCAGCATCAGCTTCCAAAGCTTACAGCGGCAGCTCCTAAGTAACGGCATCAGCTCCCAAGCTTACGGCAGCAAGCTTACGACAGCTCCTAAAGCTCCAACGGCATCTTCCAACTCTTGCGTTGTCATGGCACCCCACGGGTGACACTTCTCCAATGCCTCTTCTCAAAGTCACATGCTGAACGGCACCACCCATGAGATATCTCTTCATTTCTGCGCCAAGGCTACTTGCCGAACGGCACCCCATGAAGGAAAAGCGCATATTCTCAAAACTACCTGCCGAACGGCACATGGAGAATCCTCTAAGCTTCCGGCACCTATGCCAACTGCTGAACGACACCCATTATTGCAGCAACACCTTCAGCACCTACGATAGTGCATGCCTCTAGTAGTTGTCATGCGACTCAATCTCCATACCCTTCAATAATTGCTACTCAGCACTCAGTACCATTACCTTCGGTGATCAGCGGGTACTGACTCAACAACTCTGCACCGATGTTGCATACAAGAGAAAGCGAAGAAGAAGCTGAAGCATTGCTTGGCTAGTGCATTGATGACTACAAGTCCCCAATCACGAAGTACCTCCTTAATCAAGAACTTGGGGGACTCCTGTTTGTACAATATCTGGCCAAGCACTCCTAAGCCAATCCAAGCAAAGGAAAGAGAGTCCCACATCGACAAAACATAAGAAGATGGGACTCTCCCTCACTTATAAAAGGAGACTCATCTCCTTCAAGAAAGAGAGAGTTAGACAGGCTATTAGGGCACCATATGGCTCATAAGGGCCTCATGGGCTTACTCCTAAGCCCATTTACAAGCCCACGGATCATTTGCCTTCAGCCAGATCCTCAGCCTTCGGCCATCAGCCTCCAGCATTCTTCCTCCTCTCCTTGGGTTTAACCCTATGTGCAATGTATACAGTCTTTATCATAATGAGAACATACTTCTCCGTGGACGTAGCCCATTATTCGGGTGAACCACATACATTTGTCTTCTGTATGCATGCCTATGTACTTACCGAATGCTCTCACATACCGAGGGTCCTCACCTTCATCATCCTCCTCCTCATTTTTAAGTTGGTCTAATTACTACTGTCTAGTTTTTACCTCCAACACATATGACAAAATTTCATCTCATTACCTGACACGGGACAATGATTAATTTGGACCCAACACTCACACAGCAAAACATCTTCCGTGGTGCTCCACGCCCCTCCGGTTTTGATAGAAGAAGCCATAAAGATGATAAATAAAAATACAATTTGAAAGAGAATAAAATGTTGAGTAAAGAGTGAATAATAGTAGAAGTAGAAGAAAATGTATGAGGATTGGTGTTGAAAGTGAAGGGTATTGGTAGGTATATAAAAAAAAAAAAAAAAAAAAAAAAAAAAAAAATTCAATTTTTGTTTTGTTTTTTTTTTATAAAAAATTTTGAATTTTTTTTTCATAATTTTATAGCCAAAAAAAGGGCAGCCGTTGGATTGGAGGAGAGAAGCAAATTGGAGCGCCCAGACGAAGACACGTGTCTTCTAGCCGTTGGAAAAGCGCAGGGCTGACATCAACGCACGTCGGGTGAGACTTGCCTTCGAGCCAGCCCGTCTTTTTGGGTCCTGCATCCAACCCGGGCAAAAGTGGCCCACTGGAATTGGATTTTTTGCTTGGCCTCCCCCCAGCCTCAGGCTTGGCTTGATCACTGGAGTTGCTCTTACGGAGAAAATCTTTATCCTTATTTTAATAGCATATTTGGCTCTCAAGTATTCAACTCAATTTAAAATGCAATGAAAACTGCATGCATAACCTAACCAACATTAATGCCTCCTTTAATTCACCATTTTAATTGTTTTAATTCGTATAGTGACTAACTTGTTCCCACAAATCCATATTAACTATAACAGACCCTTGTCTTCATATCAGTTTTCAATCACTATTATCTATATACGACAATGTCAAAAGTAAGTCACACACTATGGTAACCCAACATGTTTTCCCTAAAATGCCAAACAATTCAAAAGGTAACACAACTGTATGCAATTAACTCAAATTAGAGAAAGAGACGTCATACTCAGCCGTAAGTATGAAAGCTTTGTCAAAATCAGCAAAAGAGAGAGAAAACGCAGCAGCCCAATTAATCAAAGTGCCACCCAATTGCAGTGGCATAGGTGAGCGATTTCATCTATTTCATCTTTATGCTTTATTACGAACAAAACCATCCACAAGGTTGCAAAAGCCAATTTAAGAGGGCAGCGGGAACTTTACGCGATCAACCTTTGCAACACAAAATCGCACATCTATCACGCCAAAGTCGTACACCGCTAGCAACATCAGATAAGGTGGGCGATTTCTTTTTGGTTTTAAAACATGCAGCCTATGCTCTGATACCACATGTAAACTATAATGACTATACATGATAGAACACACATCAAGAATATATAAGAGCACATTTCCTTATTATGATCCCTTCATACACTCATTCTAGATGGAGTGAATTCTTTTGTGTGGGTTGGCTTGATCGGTTGAGCAGGGGCACTTGTATTTATATGCATCTTCCTAAGAGTCTTGCCCATCAAGAAATTCTTAAGAAGTTCTTATTGCATTAGGTTTATAACTTCTAATCCACAATTAAAATAAGAATCCTTCTAGCTCTTATATTAGCCTTAAAACAATAACTTTAATAGAGTTGTAGGTTTTGTATTTGAACTCCTAATTGATATCAAGTTAGAATTCTTTGATGATTATAAAACCACACTTTAATGAGATAGACATCTATATGTCTAACAACAGACTCACAAGTTTTGATTATCATTGGAAGGTTCATTAGAGTGGTGAATACATTAAGGTATTAATTATAATGGTTGCCTTTGGATTTTGTGCTAATATACTTGGATATGAGTTTGGAGATTGTGCAATAAATTGAGTCCTTTTCGCATGCATACGATTAGTTGGCTAGTATGCACAAAATTGCAAGTATTAAGTCGTTTAGGTGAAAGTGTGCAAAGTAAAATTCTTTTTTTTTAGTACGAGAGATTGGGGAAAGAGGGTCTACATAAATATTCATTGGGTGTTTGGGAGTTTGGAATTCTTTAAGAGTCTGTTAGGCAGTGTTTTTAAAATGGCTAAAAAAGCCTTACTCTCTAGACTTTTTTCTTCACTAATTTTTCTCATAAATCTATATATATAAAGTAAAAAGTAGAGAATGGTGAAACATTTAAAATACCAAAAGATGTTATTGGTTAATTCAAACATTAAGAATTGAAATTATTAATTAAATGAGGATAATATGGTAAATTCATATTTTTTTAATATTAAAAAAAATTAAAAACAAAATAAGATAATATGTCCTACTTTTATGGGACATAACTACTCATATTATCTTTTCTTCATTCTAAATAAAAAAAACCAATTGGCACATGCATGAGCGTGTGCCAAGGGGCTAATTATACATAACGATTTAATCTACCCCACCATTATATTCCTAGGAATTATATCCAATATGATGTTACCACGGTAATATCTATTAAGACCAAATGAAGGCACTTACCTCTTCTCAGTCTTGCTCTACACTTACAAAGGTGACGAGTTTCCATGAAACTATGTGTTGAATGGGGACACGCTACTTGACAAGAAACCTCAAAGAAGGCCAAGGCAGGACAAGGGAGCGAGGGCTGCAGTTGGGCTTGGGCAGTTGATTTTTTAAGTGACGTTGATGTTATTTTGTGAGTGTTACTGACAAAATATTAGAAAAGACGAACTCTTTTTTAATAGGAAAAAGAATTCGTGATAAACTATCTTCTTCAAATTTAGCCCTGAATTCCCAAATATAACTTCTCTATTCTTCTACTCCTCTTTTATCTCCATTGCAACTGCTTTACTCCTCTACTCATGTTTTCTTCTTGTTCTCCCCCCGTCCCACCCCTCATTATTCCCATTCTTTTCTTTGTGCCTTGCAATAGAGAAATTAGGTATAATATGTAGAGTTTATTTTCTCATTTGTGTAGGGATATATTTATATCTTCACTATTAGTCACTTGGTTTGGTTTTGTTTGATTTTTGTAGCTGCACTTGAAACGAGCTCTAGGTTGCCTACATATCATTTTGATGGAATCAAGCCAACTCGTAGTTCATTTTCGGTGATGGAAATTTGGAAGGAATTTGTGGTTCTTGGAATAGTTTGGATATGGAAAAGTGTTTGAGGTGAATTTGGTCAAAGTAAACTAGGGAATCTATTTGGATTTGTGGGTTGCATCTAGATTGCCTACATACTCTTGAAGGGATAAAACCATATGTACTTTGAATTTGGGTGATTATGAATGGAAATTGATTTAATTTGTGGGAATTTAGGAATGAATTTTTTTGGCTGAATTTGAGTTAATTTCTTGCACCAATGTTTTTGGTTCATTTTGATATTAATTAAACTATCATTACTTCAATTTAGTGGGAATTATGGTCCCTTATTTAGTGAGAAATTATGGTATCTCTACACTTTTTCATTTATTTTTAAGACTTTTGGCTTCTGGTTTTCCCACCCTATTAATTTAGGAGTGATCCATAGCACCTCTCTTCTCATCATTTCTATCATCTCAGCATTATCATCCTTCTTCGCTTATCTCATATCCTCTTATTCCTCATACAATCTCAAGAAAATCTCATGAGTTTTTTGCTAGCCAAAGAAATGTGTTCTTCTTGTGGAGCTTTGGACTCATCCTTCTTGTACAAGTCAAGAGATATGTTGCTTCACCAGCTGATGGGCTTTGCCCGACCGTATCCGCGCTTCAGCCTAATTGTCTGTGTGATTCTTGGATGAGAAAATAATTATAATTTTTTTATTTTCATAATTACAATTTTCCCAGCAAATGCTAATTGGGTTTGATCTTGTCGATTGTTTACCAATTGAGAAACTACTGCTGAGAACTTGAAATTTATTGGACGTCTATGTTGCAGCTTTGCCTCAATTTGGAATTGCTTTGTATTGATTTTCCCTATTCCAACTGGAATTGAGAGTAGGGAAGAACTCTCTGCCTCTGTCCTTTCCCTGCTTGCAAGCGTAACGAGTTTGCAACTACCCCCCAGCTAATAGCGTTGTCAACGGCAGTCCCCCTAAAACTGAAAAATAGTTATCAACTACCCCCAGCTTTTCAATTGCAACGGGCTTGCATTTCAAAGTGATCAAGAACAGTTATCCCTGCACCCGAGGTCCTTGTCTAAATAAACTATCAATCTAGAATGCAGGAACAGTACGGGATGCAGTTCATAAATATTAAAATAAAATAAAATAAAAAGCTCAATTGTGCTAATAATATGTTTCTTGAACGAACTCAATATGATATTATGCTATTACACTCTGCTTTAAAGTATCATATACCATCATTATAAACAATTTTCACAAAAAAATACATATCAAAAGTCTTGTCCTAATTTGAATGGAGGAATCAGCTTAAAAGAACTAGAATCTAAAACTGGTTCTCTTCTACAAAACACGTGTAAAGAAATAAGATTCAATTTGGGTCTGAGTGTATAAGGGATGCAGTTGCCTTCTCGATGTTCCTCCCTGATGTTAAAGAGGATACTCCTGAAATTTGAAATGATGAAAATGAGGAAGGAGCTGGGGCTGAGGCTGCAGCAGTGGACAGAGCACTGATATTATTGCTCACATTCATGTCTGTTCCACTAGTAGGCAAGTCAATGGCAGCCCTCGGGGCAGGGGGTTTCTCAATATCTGTAATTCCTTCCAGCATCTGTACAACTTTTCCCATCATTGGCCTATGAGATGGTTGTTCATGTATGCACCAGAAGGTCACCTGAATTGCTCTCGTCACTTGATCCATATCAACATCTTGGTCGACTAGCCTTTTATCGACAATTCCCTTGATGTTACCCTTCTCAAACTCCTCAAAAGCCCATAAGGAGAACTTCTTCCTATTTGTCTCCTCAGAAACTTCAAAATTCCTTCTCCCACTCACTATCTCTAGCAAAACCATACCATAACTGTAAACATCAGATTTGGAAGTTATTGGAAGATTTGCTAGCCATTCAGGTGCCAAATACCCTCTAGTCCCTCTAACACTTGTCAAGGTTCGATACCTATGGTCTTTTGGATTAACGAGCTTTGCGAGGCCAAAATCTGACACTTTGGCATTGAAATTCTCATCTATGAGAATGTTTTCTGGCTTTATATCACAATGCACAATGCAGTCTCGGCACTCCTCATGAAGGTATGTGATCCCCCTTGCAGTCCCTAGGGCAATGTTGAACCGAGACTCCCAATTCAACAACTTTCCCGACTGCTCTACCGTTGCAAACAGGAAATTATCAAGGGACCCATTTTTCATGAACTCATATACCAAAAGCCTATGGCGCCCCTCAGAGCAAAAACCAATCAGCCTCACCAGATTCAAATGGTGGGTGCTACTAATGGTTGCAACCTCCATCCTAAATTGTTTCTCCCCTTGCTCAATCCCCTCAAGTTGCTTAACTGCAACAACAGTTCTATTAGCAAGAATGCCCTTATAAACAGCCCCAAATCCTCCTTCCCCAAGCTTCTCCTTGAATCCCTTAGTTGAGCGCTGGAGCTCCTTATACACGAACTGAACCGGTGCACCAGAAGCATACTCAAGAAGTGCATATTGAGCGGACAATCCACCAAAGTTGGGACTGTTCCTGCAAAACCACCACCACAAACCACCCTCCAATGCCATCAAACCCAAAAGGGTGGCAACAACCACAACAACCACAATCCAGGCGTGCAACTTCCAATCCTTTTTCTTGCCATCACTCTCCAATGAAGACGAAGGATTTGGAATCACCGCCCACAAACCTTGATATATGAACTGCTGGACATAGCTGGACTATGATAGCCACTAAGATAACCAGGTGTCTTGTAGTAACATAGCCCTGTGCCATCGGACAAAGATGTCGAAGCATCACAAGCAGTATTTACAAGACAATTCAACCTGCAAGCTGATATACCGACAAAGAAAATCTGTGATTCCGTCTCGGGAGGGTACGTCAAGAACCTAGTATGAACAAGGTCCAACATAGTCACACTCTGAGGACAATCCTCAATCTCCATCTTCCTTTTACATCCTTTCCTGCTATCCTTCGAATCAACTAGCTCAAAATTCTGCGACATACAACCACACACCGGATTGGAATTATTATAACTACAAACTCCCATGTCCCCGCAGTACCCGAAAACCTCACACTGATCAGTAACAGCTGCCCATCTCTCAGTTATAGTCCCACTACCTCTAGTGGAGCTATAAATTCTCAAATTCCCATCACTCCCTAGCTTCAAGAACCTCAAAATATCACCAGCTTCAGCATAGTCACTACTATAAGCAACAATGACCGCAGTGGCCAAGCGTGGATCAGAGATTGACAAAATACCAATTGACTGCAATCCTAAACTAGGTGAAGTCAAATTGGTATTAACAGAAGAATTCAATCCTTCGTTCCAATACGTAATACTATTGTTCCAACGAAGAGTAAGGTTCCCATTCTTAACAAGCTTAAAAGAATACAACCCAGATCGCAAAACCTTACTCACAGTGAAGTTCTGCGACGGCACGATCGAATCGGTCGGGTTCTCGAAGCTGGACCAGACCGAAACGGTGCCGTTGAGGAGCACCAAGTCGCCCGAATCGTCAAGCTGGGCGGAGGAGACGCCGCGGGCGGCGGTATTGGAGTCCCAGAGAATAGTGCCGGAGCCGTTGACGAGGCGGAGAGTACCGGAGGAGAGGAATTGAAGGGTGCCGCCGGAGTCAACGGCAGCTCCATCGCCGGCGGACCATACGGGGACGCCGCCGGAGTAGAAAATGGCGGCGATGAAGGAAGGGGGCGAAGTGGGGGGGTCAGAGGGAAGGAAGCCGAAGGAGAAGGTGGCTTTTGGGGAGGACCAGGTCTTGTTTGGGTTGGAGGCGGAGAGAGTGGAGCCTGGTGAGATTATGGTGGCGGCTGAGATGGTGGTGATGGCGGCGGCAGAGAAGAGACAGGGGATCAAGAGAAGAAAAGAGAATGGGGTCATTTTGGGTTGCTGTGTCAGATTTGATGGCTGGGTTTCTGAGTTTTAAGGAGGAAGGAGAGAGTGGGGAGATTGGTCTGGTTTGGAAAATGGATGGAAGGAAGACTTTGACTATCAAATGGGACGTGGGGTAGGGGGTCATTCACGCCCTCGACTGACTGGTGCTCAGATCTGCTGTGTTGCCTCCAAACTAGTCCTATACACATGACCGCTGTTAAAGGGTCCTGATTGTATTTTTAATTTCGATTTTATTAAAAGATTTTATTTATTTTTATAGCAATCACCCTAAATTATAGACATTGTTTTACTTCACTTTCTGAACTTTCAATTTGGTTTTGAGCCCCATACTCTTTCACCACGTGTCAATATACCCCCTTCCGTCAAATTTGTTAACCGCTTCGTAAAATTCATAGGCGTTTTTGTCACTTCAAGTTAGGATTTAATTTGACCAACTTAAACCCTAATTGAGTCAACCCATTTTTCCCTTTAGACCCCATTTTAACCAATGAAGGCCCCATTTTCACTTCTTCATTTTTTAATCCATTCAAAATATGATTGAAACGAACAAGTGGTCGAGACAATTAGGATTTAAGTTTGTCAAACCAAATTCTAACTTGAATTGATATAAATTATCCAGAATTTGACGGAGGAATTAACAAACTTGACGGAATGGGGCATATGACACGCTTTGAAAGGCTAGAAGGTCTCAAAACCAAATAAAGTTCAAAGGGCAAAGTGGAACAAGGTCTATAGGTGAGGCGACATTGCTAAAATTTTCTCCTACAAAAATATTTAGATGGGTTAATGGCGTTAGGATTGATTAAATGGAAAGACAGATGTCACAAACATAAGTAGGGAACAGGGAAGGGATAGGAAAATTAGGAGACAGAGGATCATAACTGAACTGTTGAACAGTGGACCCAATACTCTTCTGTTCCTCTCCTCAGTTTCTTGGACATTTATGTCCTTTAGAGTAGAAACAAATTCGCTGTCTCTATTTTTCTCCTTTGAGTAATATTTTTGACTTCTAGAAAGTTGGAAGTAATAGAGTTGATATTTTTTTTGGTCGAAAATTTTGGAGTTGACCTATTCAAAACAACTGGTGTCATTTTATGAAGGTGCGTGTCGTATGGGTTTTGGGTGAATGAAGTCTAGAAATATATAGAAAGCATGCAATTCGTAAGCGTGTGACTCTGTGAGTTGGTCTTTATGAAAAATTATGTTCAAGTTCCATGTTCAAGGCTTGATATGTGGTCTCTATAGTGACCATTTGAGTGTATATATGATAGAGCCCCGACTCAAATTTGGTATCAGAACCAAGTTTAGCCAATTAATAGTATAATTATAATAATAAATTACCTTGAGGATAAACTCATCAATACATCAAATTTTGCTTTAGGCAACACTACATAGTATGCTACACATCACTTCTATAAATAATAGAACCTAAATGATAAAAATACATCATCAGCAATAGTTGGCGATGCATGATTTAGCATCACAGTCTTAACAACAAAAAACTAAATTGTTTTTCTTTTTTCTTTTAGAGATTTCAAGTAGTGATGCCTTTCATTGCATTTTACCTGGGTCAACATCACGCTATTTTCACTTCCCCACAAATATTTCAGTGTCCCCCTCAAATCGCGAAGTCTCCTTGTCTCTTCTCTATTCTCTCTATCTATCTTTCTCTATGAGTGAGATCTGATGAGTCGCTGTGAGAAACAAATGTTGAAGAATACACAGAGTCTCATATCAAAAACTTAATAAAATAGAAAGTCCTATATAATAAATGGTTCCACTCCTAATAACATCGAGACTTTTTGTATAAATTCTCACACTAGCTAAATAGGTGGTTAATAAGTTGATGACAATATTGATGTTGCTAATAGTGGGCCAACGGTCCGTCCCTTTGAAATCTTAACGTGGTATCAGAGCGGGCCGGTTGACTAGGCCCGATTAAACCCAAATCAAACAAAAACTCCAAATTGAACCAAAATCAACCAGCCTACTAAAAAGTGGTTCCACCTGAGGAGGAGTGTTGCAGAATACACAGAGTCTCACAATGGAAACTTAACAAAATAAAAAGTTTCATATATTAAATGGTTACACTCCTAATTACATCGATGCCTTTTGTATAAAATCCCACACATGCTAAACATATGGTTAATTTGTTGCTAATAGTAGGCCAATGATCCGTTCCTTTGAAATCTTAACAACAAAGAGAGGAGAAGTAGGTGAGGTTGCGTGGCAACGAGGCGGGAAGTCTATCTTAACCTCGACATCTCCCTAAATTCGTTTCAATATTACCATGCTGTGAAAGAGTACTTGTGTCTCAATTATTAAGTCAGGATTTCACATTCTTTAACAAAAGTCCCCTACTTAAGTTCATCTAACTATCATGTTGTCGGAAAAATTAGAATTAAGAAAATAAAACCATTTTGTTTTCCCAGAAGCATGTAGCCAATCAAACCAAGACATGAATATCACGCTTTTTTTCTTTTTTTAAAGGAGATTCAAGCCCATTATTCTTTGGCAAAATTCGCGAACCAATGCATCAATATATTTGACTTGTCCCCTCTAGGATGCAACAGCCCAACTGAAACATTGTATGACTAAACCTATTTGCACAAACGGAGGCACCTAGTATTGGAAACAAAAGAACTTACATGTTGATTGTTTTTATTGTATTGAAAACCTTAACCTATATATACCACAAAAAAAAAAAAAAAAAAAAAAAAAAAAAAAAAAAAAAAAAAAAAAAAAAAGGGGTAAATAATTTTTTATAATAATATATATTGTGTGAGGTGGGCTCGGTTCAGTTAACCAAACTAAATGGACAACACCGCCTACTGATCGATGACCGTCGGAAGGGACCAAATCGGAACCGGTACCGTACTGCTGTTGGTTTATCGACTATCAGTTGAACCGATCATGTCAATATGTGCTCTCATTATCTCAAATCTCCTCACTCTCGATATGTGTGTCTCATCTCTCACTCTTAGATCTTTTCAATTTGTGCCATCCTCTGCGGCTGGGTTTGACTGGGAGGGAGAGAAAGGGAGAGAGATGGATGATAGATGCAATGTTGATCTCGACTTCTTACTGAATGATTGTGGCCAAAGAAAACCTTGTTGATATATGAAATGAACGATGGAAGTGGGGATTGCTCACGAACTCAGAAAGGTTTCTGAGTTCTTTCTAACAAGAGTTACCCTAAATTCTAATGGAAAGCATTGAAAACTAGAAATTACATTATAAAAAAGATAAAAGGGTGCATTTGAGCAGTCGTTGGGCTTGGTTTGTTTGATTGGTGCTCGACCCTTATTCCTTCAGTTTTGCTTCTATTTATATACTCCGTATTTTTCTCTGGCCGAATCGATAATCCTAGCTGTGGCTTTGACATGCGTCCAATCAGCTCTATGGCTTCCTCCATATGCTTTCGCTTGTGAATGGTCAAGATCCGCGTCATTTTGACAACTTGGGCAATGAAAAAGGTGAATCTTGGTCGGCCAGCATGCACTTAATTGTAATTTTATCACTTGGATTGAAGAGGTTTCCCTCTTGTTGGAGCCATTTATACAAGATGACACTGTTATATCCTCTTAATTGTTATTAATGAATTCCTCTTTCGCAAAAAAGAAAAAATGAACAAAAAATCTGAAGAGATGTGGTCACTAGAGAGAAAAAAGAGAGTGTTAGGTTTGAAACCCTAACAATTTTATAATGTCTTTTAGTTCTTCTATGAAGTTATTAAATAACCTCATTATATATCTGTTCACCCGTTTTATATTTGTTCCTGTGATGGTAGGGTAAAGTTCTCCATTGTCTCGAAAATCATTAATTGGTCAACAAGTTAACTTTCTTTTGTGTGCGATCGTGCCACTACTAGCAATGAAAATCCTAGCAGACTTCTTAAAAATAGATAACTTGCGCCCCAAGTTACTGATTTATAAACAAGCGATTATGAATTTAAGTGAAGAATATCTCCTAAGTAAGTTCTTTTCCTGCCTCAAACTGGTGAGGACTTCACAATTTTTCACAGTACAAAACTGGTAGTTCTGGCCAGAATAAATAACAAGAAACTAAATTATTTAGGTAGAACTGCCTTTTACAAGACTCAGAAAGGGAAAGACCAACTCCAAAAAAAACAAAAGAGCATTGGACTTCAATTTCTGCCTGGATAGCTACTTTTGATCCGGTCTGAATTGGATGTATCTGTGCTGGATTGGACTATCAACACCTTAAACTATCAAGTTTCAGCTATAAATCGATACAAACGTTCGAGTTTGGCAGAGTTTTAATCTATTTCAAGCCCTGGAAGGCTTTTTGAACGGGCATAATTAGAACCTCTTCAGTTTGGAAGGGGCAGAAGTGGCTAGATTTGATGATTACTGAGCTGGAACTGCACTGTAGTACCTGTTCTGTTTGATCATGGCTTTCCATAAATTTGTTGAGGTTTTCATATTTGTAAAACCCGAACTCTGCTTGTTTTGGCTTATGCTTAACCAAATTTGTAACGAGAGAAATCTCGCTTTGTATGACTATTTCTCTGAAACTTAACTGAATTTAGAGACTCTGAATTCTAGTTGACTTGTTTCTTGTGGGTCAATGAGCTTTTGGTTGCTTCAGTGTTTGAAGGCTTTTGAGATCAAGTGATCATTTTGAGTTTGTCAATTATGACCTTGAGAGTTTTTGTTTTGATTGATTTTTTGGTTGTAGAGTTTCAGATAAGTCTTTCTGTAATGACCTGCCTTCATTAATTCCTAATCAACTTCTCTTGTGACTAGTTGAAATTGTTGACTTTTCAAAGTCAGATAGTCACATGGGTTTCTTTGTGATCTAAGGCTGAATGCGTCAATTTTGCCCAAAGTGGTATTTTTGACCCTTTTTACATTTTGGGTAGAGAGTTGGTAGTTTTGATAAAACTGATTTTGGGTTTCTTCAATTTTGGGCTGTTCTCTATGTTCATTTAATCATGCCAAGCCCAATTTTGAGTTTTGGGACTATGGGCTGAACAAATCACATGCATTGGACTTCCTTCTAATCTTGGGTCTTTTTGGTAAAAAAATCTAACTTGGGCTTGGGCTGATTTCTTTTCTTTGTTTCCAAAGCCCAATTTTATTCTTGTAGGGTGATAGATCCTGGGCTAGGCCGTCTTGATTTCGAGCTTTCGTTTCCAATTTAAACGAAAAAGTCCAAACTACTTGGGTCTTGAGGTATTGCTTTGTTGTTTTGGGCCTCCAGTGCTGGGCTGGGTGTGCAGAATTTTGGCCCAAACAATATCTATATTTCACCACCAAAAAAAATCTAATTACTCTAGTTGTATGAGGAATTCATTGCAAACCAAGAGATAGGGGGTTTGACTCCCTTTTGGAGCACAATTTTTGCAATCTTTGGAGATTGCACAAGTCGGTTCGGTACTAGACCGATTTATAGCAGTTTAGTCTGATTCTATCAATTGAGCGGTTTCGTGTTTCAATTCCCAGCCCTAGATTGAAGGGTATGGAAAGCTATACTTCCAACTTCCAAAGAAAAATTTTAGATGATGTTTTTCAACAACAGGTACATGGATTAACATAGGTATCACTACCTCCTCATGTACTTTGAGGCCTTTATTCCTTCAACTCTTTTTGGCAGGTTCTATGGATATTTGATATCAACAAAACACAAATACAATTAGTAAATAGCATAAATAAAAGAAAAATGTGTCAAATTTGAAGGTCCAATTTCAATCCAAGTAGTGGACAAATATGGAAATGAAAACCTAATCAAAGTTGAGCTAGTTGTCTGACATTAATTGGATAAACATCAAATTCAAGAGTGGAAGCATAGGCCTTGCTTGCTATTTGAAAATTTAAAGCTTCTGTCGGATGCAACCCATCAAAGAACACATTTCTCGTCCTGTTCGCACTTGTTTTCCCACCTCTGTCGCATAATACTCCATTTCCACCTGCACCCAAAAAACAAAAAAATGTGTTTCATGAATTCAGACAAAAACAATAAACAATTACTGAAAACTCCTTAAGTTAAGTAAAGCTCAGTTTACATAAACCCTTTTTTTTGGTAATTTTTATGTGCCGTGGCACTTCAACCAGAAGTTTTCATCTAGTAGAGGGTTATCAATTGAAAATCGTTTGAAGGTTTTTTTATTTTTTATATTTAGTTTTTTTAATTAATTGTACAAAATTACGGCAAATGATTAAAGGTTCCTAAACTTTTTAAAAAGTGCTCATTATTTTAGTGCTCGAACTTTGAAATTAATAAATGTGGTCCTTACATTTTTGGTCCATACATCAATTTGGTCATATTGTCATTGCATTCCATCATAATTTTCATTAAAATTGATTGTGTATCATCACCTAACAAGCTTCAAATTGGTAATCAAAATATAGCTCATCCGCCCGAAAACAATAAAAAAATCTCCTATCTTTTTCTTAAGAAGGTCATCTACTCTCTATTTACGAGTTCACATTAGGGTTTCATCAAGTAAAGCAAATGACCTTGTTGAGAAAAGAAAGTGAGCTTTATTTTTTCATAGTGAAGAGGTTGTATATTTGACAAAAATTACGACTTTAAAGTTGGTCGCACGGCCACTTCCACTGAAGGTTTTGATGGAATGCGATGGCAAACACCAAATTTATGTATACAATTACAACTGTACACAAATAATACAAATATCCGTAAGAACGGCATGATAGCAGGCTATCAAAAGATGAAAGGAAAGAACCTTGAATCTGGGAGGTCACTTTGCAACAAGGGTTGCTTGTGTCTTCAAAGCCTGTACTAAATGCAACAAAAATAAGTCACTACTTGGTAAGAAATAAAGAAACGAAATGGGTTGGACACAGGCAACTCCAGGTCACAAAATTTCTTCCCCAAATGATGTTCTAGTACACATGTTAGGTCGTTCAGAAGTATTAGCTACTTTCCTCCATATGGCACAAAATGAACGGGGAAGGAAAAAAGAGAAAAGCAAAAAGGGAAGGTAACTAGCACTTCTCTCGTTTGTTATCTAATATAATTCCAAATTTGAACAAACGAAACACTGGCACCTCTTTTGGTAACAAATTTTGTGAGCAGCACTACATGTTTAATGCTATAGGAACAATGTAATACTTTGCTATTAAAATATCTGATATGAAATCATACTATTTTGCATTTAAAAAGTATGAAAAATTATTATTTTCCCTTAAAGAACACATGAATAAAAGATTATTTTCATAATTACCTGTGGAAGACGGATTCTGGATGATATTAGTCATAATATTATATGTGTTGACCAAAGCAAAATTGAAGTCAGGCATGCTTCTTTTGAGAGCATCTAGCTGTATCTTCAACTGAACGTTGTACATCTGAGCTGCTTGGCTCAGAGCTTGAGGGCTGCCTATAAAATTCGGTCTGTGAAGTACAGGACTGTAGCCTAGTGGATTTATTGACATTACCACAAATTTTCGACCTCCCAAACTATACAATTTCTGCAACAATAAAGCGGATCATGATTTAAAATATTGTGTGTCAAAACTTGGTCCAGAAATATAAAATAAGGCTTAGTCGAACATGATCGAGAGAGGAATAGTAATCGTTGTGACGTTGTCCTAAAGTAGTTGTAGACGCCTCCCAACGTGCAACTTATAACTATCATCTACAACTTCAATGTACAACTCTTGAAACTCACAAGATGTATGATTCCTTAAGCACGATCACGACATACGATATGCTTGTAAGTGTGTATTAGATTACCCATTAATTGAAGAGAGGAAGAGAGGAGATAGTAGGAATATGGATGAAAGATGATTGGACACGAGGGTAAGGGAACATAATCGAACGTATACTCCATTTTTTCTTAGAAATATATACAAAAGACATGACTTTTACTTGACCATTTAGTAAGGGACTATGACTATTCACTTTAAACTCATGGGTCATCATATCACAGCGGAAAAGTATATTTAGCCTAAGATCAGTGGTTTCAAGTTCGAAACAACCCATTTCCCCTTCCTACCTTTGAAAACAAAAAACAAAAGAAAAACCAACATAACTTTTCACAATAATTACTTAATAATAAATAATTAGCTTTGAATATTAATAAAAATAAAAATAAAAACATAAAAATCCAACCATTTGTAGCAAGTTGGAGAATTCTTGTTATATATTATATATCAAAATGCACCTGGAGTTTTTGAGCCAGAGAGGCTATGAGACGTCTAGTGAAGGCTTCAAGGCCAAGTTGAAGGTAGGATCTCCTGGCGAAGTAGTTGAACATGTAATCGTTCCCACCAACTCCGACAACAAACAAGTAGCTTGGAAGTGATTCAGAGCTTTTGCACCCCAGCTCAGCTTCTAGCTCTGGCAATGTCTCCTCCTCAAAGTCCCGAATTTGCTGGCTCAAATTGATAACATTGCCCTGAAATATTAATCACAGCCACTATGATATTTTGCAGACGAAATAAAATTTGAAATTAATATTATTTTTTGTATGAATAGGGATCATTAATATTGTCATACTGGTCATGCGTGCTGCTGATGCTTCTAAAGTATTATAGGCTACATGTGAAACACGTGAGTTATTTGTCTATGGTTGCCGTTCACAAGTTATATATGAAATTAACCCCTTTTGCATGAATGAAGAAAGATTAGTTGGTACAAATTCATATGACACATGCGATCTTACAGTTGACAAATATCTATTCTGTCTCTAGTAATATATTCAGTCTAGATTTAACGGCAGGTTTACTAACTCGGAATCAAAGTGAATATAAATCGGAGTGAAACATGAATCAAAGTGAGCACGAATCAAAGCGAGCACGAATCAAAGCGAGCACGAATCACTCCAAGACATTCATATGACACATGCCTCCTATTCTTTCCATTCCTATTCCATGTTAGTAAACATGCCATAAGGCTTAAAAATGAGTTTGTATCATCGTATGCAATATATGAGTTAATACCGCTAAAATTTTCCAGCGTTTAAATAAAAATAGAAAACACATAATTAAGCATGAAAAAGAAGGTAATATGATGAGATTAATTAACGAATATCAGTATAGTTCGATGTACCGCAACTGAGCCGGTGTCATCTAATATACCGGAAGAGCCGGAGGCATGGTTGACGCCATGAACAATTTTACTTCCCTTGGTTGAAGGGTCTTTAGAAGGTGGGATGAAGGAAGGAAGCTTGAGTTGGTCACCAAGAAGGTCAACGACATTTTTGCCATTTGTGAATCTCCCAGAAGGTCCGTTCGGGAAATCAATACCATATGGCAAATAATCGGCTTTAGCCCTGCTTTCAAAGAAGTTATTGTTGCCATTGTCGACCAGAGAGCTTCCAAACACAAACATGCCTCTGGTCGCAGCTCCATCTTCTGCGAAGTTACAAATGGAAATGGATAGAGGAAGACGAACAAACAAAGAGAGATACAATAACACAACTTGTTTGGAAGGTTGTTTTAGAGAGTGGTATTGCATGGTGGGTGGTTTCTGTTGTGTTTTTCTTCTGTTGGAGGGAAAGAAACGGGGATGTATGAACTGGTATTTATGTGAGTAGTAAAGGCTTTCACCTTTAACACACCTTTTCTTTTCCTCCCACTTTCAGCCCTTTCATTATTGTTTAGACTTTATGTGCGACAGGTTTTGTGAAATTTGATGCAAATTATTTTGTTTCTCAAGTTTTGTTTTAATATCAAAGTTGTTGCAATAGAAAGGACACTCCTTGGCTTCTTACAAACAAATTACAGTTCAACACATATGCAAAATTGACTTATTAAAACTTACAAAAAGAAAATTTGTGGACACATGTCAAACTGTAACTTGTTTAAGAATACGTACTAGGAGCTAATTATTTTTCTTTTGAACCGGCCATATATTTTGAGATTTGCTAGGTCCAATTTTTTTTTGTTATTTATTTATCACACCTCAAGTTTTTTTTCTTTTTGATATTGCGATATTCTAAAACTATTGTAAACCAACTAGCCTAACATTCTTGGTTTGTTCTCACGCTATATATATGCTTTCTAAGAGCACTTCCACCCCAAAGGGCAAGGGCAATGCAAGGTTTGTCACTATTCACATGAATAGTGGCAGCCCTTGCCCTTTTTTTTTCACCCCAAAGGATAAGGGTAAGGGCAATTACTATTCACTTTAATTTATTTTCTATTTTTATACTTAAACCATTAATATTTTGATAAGCTTTTCGGATAAGATTTTCGGTTGCCACGTGTCACTATTTATTATAAAATTCTCACCTAAATTTCAAATAACATTTTTGGATAAAATTTTTTAATTAAATTTTCGGATAAGATTTTCAGTTGCCACGTGTCTATATTTTGTTATGACATTCAGATCTCAAATTTCAGATAAGATTTTCGGTTGCCACGTGTCGATATTTATTATAAAATTCTAATATCATATTTCAGATAAGATTTTCACCCTCTAAAATTGTGCCACGTGTCATCTCTATCTTCTAAAATCCCTCTATAAAACTACACCATCAACTCAGACTGCTCACACCATATCTTCTCTATCCTTTCATTTCTCAGATTTTACAAAACACATTCTACTCTCAATGTTTAACTTGAGGAGGGTGTTGGAGAGGCAACAACGAGAAGATGAAGAAATCAGGCGCAGACGTGCTGAAAAAGATCGTGAATTGGATGAAGAGGAGGAAGAAGTTGTTTTATGGGTATGCTTAATCAATCAAGGCAACGCCACCATCGTCGTGCCCCAAACGTGGACAAACATAGGCACTATCGGGGTAAGAATCTCTTGGAAGATTACTTTATCCCAAATTTGTTATATCATGCTTCTTATTTTTTAGGGAGATATAGAATGCAACCCTATTTGTTCCAAAAAAATCATGCATGATGTTTGCAATTATGACACATACTTCGTTCAGAAGTATGATGCTCTTGGGGTTTTGGGTATTCTTCCGGAGCAAAAACTTACAACTGCTTTGAGGATGCTTGAGTATGGGGCATCTGTGGACCAGGTGGATGAGATTGCTATGATGAGGAAATCAACTGTCTTAGAGTGCTTGGTTAGATTTTGTAATGCAATAGAAAATCTCTACATGAGGGATTACCTCCGTAAACCTATGCCTAGGGACTTCCGAAGGCTTCTACAAAAAGTTGAGACCTGAGGTTTCCCAGGCATGATTGGAAGCATTGACTACATGCACCGGCAGTAGAAGAATTTCCCAATAACCCAGCAAGGAGATTATGGGAATAGGAAGGGCCAAAAAAGTTGTATCATTCGATACTTGGGTTTGACATGCCTTTTTCAGAGTTGTCGAATCTCTAAACGACCTCAATGTGCATGGTTAATCCTCGATATTCAATGATGCCTTGAGAGGTCATTCCTCCTAGATCACGTATCAAATCAACAGTATCGTACACTCGGGTGCATACTACCTAGCCGACAGAATTTATTCGAGGTGGACGACATTCGTCAAAACAATTTCGAATCCCCAAATAGATAAGGAAAAAAGCTTTGTTGCCTTTAAAGAGGGTTATAGGAAAGACGTGGAAAGGTGTTTGGTATCCTGCAAGTTCGTTGGGCAATTATTAGGGGTGCTACTCATATGTTTGATGAGAAGGTGCTTAGGAGCAGTATGATGATTTGCATCATCCTCCATAATATGATTGTGGAGGATGGGTATGATGCCCCAGAGATGTTCGAACCCGATCCCATGAACACGACATTGACAAGAATTTATGAACGGCACGTGAGAGCAAATGGACAACCACTAGAGCACGAACCATTGATTAGGGACAGTCGATGAAACAACCTTATGATTGACCCTTATCAGGAAATGCAATCTTCTTATGTTCACGAGAGATGTCAAGTTGACTTGATCGAGCACTTATGGGAGATGAAAGGTAGTCATGGTGGATGAAGTCAAGTTTAATGTTTTGTTTGGAATAATGCTTTGTTTTGTGTGTGGTTTGTAATGAATTAAGGTTTGTTTTGATGTATGAAATGTTTTTAATAAATAGCTATATTATTTAATGCTTTCTTTATTCAATAAAAGAGAAACAATACAACAAATTAATACATATGACAACTCTTTCAATACAACCTAATGGTTTTGATCATTTAACCAATCCTTGTTGCTAGATCCATTGTCATGGAAAAGCTTTTTTGTCATAACATCCATTCATTTTAGCTTCCAATAGGACTTTGTTTTAGGAGACATATGGCTCATATCCAAGGCCATGATTTTCATCTCTCTATCCTCCATGCCTTGTTCTTATGTCTGCTGCCTTTCAATTGCATATGCTTCATATCGTGCCTTGTCAGCTTCTTCTCTTTTCAAGTCTCTATCAATTCTCAGTGCGCCATTCTTAGCAATTTGCTCAAATTTTTTTGCACATTCATTGTTCGAAGTGCTCCCTCTCTTGGTCTTTGCCACCTTTCTCCCAATAGGCCTCGACTCACGTTGGATTGGTGAGTCTTGATCCATTGGGGAGTCCAATAGCGAATCGGTTGCCAGTGAATCGTGGATTGACGTCTCATTTAATACAAACGTCGGACCAGTAGGAATAATTTTGAATATCGAACAATTCTTCACAACGTCCCAACATTGGTGATTGATGAAACTTTTTTTGCCTTGGCCAATGACACCAAACCACATTTGTGCTTGAATAATCCATTAAAAATAATAATTGGAAATGTAAGAAAATATATATATAATTGGAAATGCAAGAAAAGATAAAATAAAAAAAAATTGGAAATGCAAGAAAAGATAAATAAAAAAATGTGACATTAAATTGAATGAAACAGCATTTATAAATATTTTACCTCGTCTGTAAGATTTTGACCGCTTCGAATGTTGTCCCTCACTTTTGCCAACGCATCTCTCCATTTTCCTAACTCTTTATTCAAAATTTTCCACCTGCTAGCCAATGCCATTTCCGTACGAGCCAAACCCAATCTTTCACAAAATTCTCCATGAATTTTTCTCCACATATGAGAGGACTTCATCTCATTGCCTGTGATTGGGCAATGACCAACTTTGACCCAATGCTCACAGAACAAAATATCTTTCATGGTTATCCACGCGCCTCCGGTTTCGATGGAAGAGGCCATTTGTATTTTTACACAAATGGAATTTAGTAGTAGAAAATTTTGTATGGAAAGTGAAAAATATTTGAAGAGAAGAATTTGTATGAAGATTTGGTATAGAAAGTGAATTATATTGGTAGGTATTTATAGAAAAAAAAATGTAGAATTTTTTAGCCAAAAAAATCGGACCGTCTGGGAAGCGCCACATGGCTTCTTCCGGTTGGTTTATGTTAGCGTTGACGTCACGCTAATGTCAGCTTTTATATCACGGTTGACGTTAGTAGACTTCATGCTACAACCCAGACGATTCTTGCTCGGGTTGGACCTTGCGCGCTGGAGGCATTTTTTGGGCTGAGGCCCCCTTTTGCCTGACCTCCCCCCTTGCAGTGGAAGTGCTCTAATTATAGGTACAAGGTTTAGGCTCACATTGTTGGTAAATTAGTCTAACAATGTTTGTAAGTTAAGCCTAACTTTTGTAGGTTGTTTGGACACATTGATGTGGAAAGGTACTCAATTAACTTTGCACAATTAGCAACTAATTTACCTAACATTGCACATTAACATAATTACACAAGTAGTTAACTAAGTTCCTTGTCACGAGCTCCTCAGCCACAGGTTTTTGAAACAGCTATGTTGATATCCATGCACCCTCCTCTTCAAGGTGTAAATTAACTTTGCCCATTGATTGATATTTTGCGTCTCATTTATCCTTATCATCAAGTCTGTTAAAAAAAAATTATTTAAAAAGCTGACATGACATGATTGTGATTCATTATTTTGCTTAAATGGATGCCATGTGTGAAAAATAATAACAAAACATTTTCTTGTAAAAAGCGGGTATCTCACCTGAGAATTTGTTATTTGAGAGATCCAGAATTTCTAATCCCGTGAGCCTGGCAAGAGTTACCGGAATATGTCCTTCAAACAGATTGCTGCTGAGATTCAAAGCAATCTGCAGAGTAGTTGGCATGCTTGGAATGTCACCGCTCAAGTGATTTTCTCCAAGTTGGAGTTCCATCAGAGAAGTCATGGAGCCAATATTTTCCGGTATCGAACCACTGAGATTGTTGCCTTGTAAATTCATGTCAATGAGATTCTTCAAGCTTGCAACCGAAGGTGGTATCGAACCATTCAGAGAATTCCAGCTGATATTCAGAATCGACAACTTCGACATTTGAGCAATTTGAATTGGGATTTGTCCAGTGAAAAGGTTAAGTTCAAGTTTCAAGACTTGAAGATGGCTAAGCTTACCCAACTCCATTGGCAGAGACCCGGAGAGCTGATTCCCAGCCAAATTCAACAGCATCAAATTCTGGCAAAAACCCAATTCAGGAGAAATCAATCCGGTCAATGCATTGTTTTCCAGCTCCAAGTAAGTTAAGTTTTGGAGTGTCGCAATGGCCGCAGTTGGAATTACATAATCAAGTGAATTGCTTCCCAATCTCAATCTGACCAAGCTCGGAGAAAGAGCTGTAGGTATCGATCCGCTTAATCCATTGTTAGACAAATCCACAGTCTGCAGATTCAATGGGGACAAAAGATCCGATGAAATCGAACCACTTAAGCTATTGTAGCTTAGGTCCAAATTTCTCAGATGTTTTGTAATTCCTGCAGGAATTGCACCGTTGAATTTGTTAGAATTTATAGCAAAACGGGTAAGGCTTGTGATATTCGAAAGGCTTTGTGGGATTCCAGATAAACTATTGGACGACAGAATCAAAACCTCAAGTTTGGAGAGCTCTCCAATTCTGTCAGGAACAGACCCAGAAATATTATTTGAGCTAAAATCAATCAGAGTCAAATTGCGGTAACCTACAATATCAACAGGGATTATGCCATGAAACTTATTCATAGAAAGCTGAAGCGCCTTCAAGACCTTGGATTTTCCAAGACGGGTAGGAACAGAGCCAGTGAAATGGTTCACGCTAAGGTTCAAGCTTTTGAGCCCAACTAACCCATCTAACTCTAAATCAATAGCTCCACTCAAGTTATTATGAGACAAGTCTAAGAACTCCAACCCAGCAAAACCAACAAATACAGGCAAAGAACCGTCCAAATTGTTATAGCTAAAATTGAGTAGCTTTAGGCCATCAAGTTCTCCACAATCTGAGAGAAACCCAGATGGGATTTTGCTCAGAAGATTGCCTGAAACATCAAGAATCTGCAAAGACTCAATCTGGCAAACAAGGGGCAGAAAATCTGAGGAAGATAGAGAAACCCCAGATAAGGAAATTTGGATAACAGATGAATTGGAAGGGGCCTTGCAGCTAACTCCTTTCCATAAACATGGGTTTGGCTCTTTGTTGATATCCCATGAAATACTAGTGACATTTAGACTCTTGGAGAGATTGATCATAGTGGTTTTTTGGTTTGAGGATAGTTGAGACAAAACCATAGGATAAAAAGAGAAAGAGAAGGAAAAGAAGAAGAAGAACAAGTACCTGGCCATTTCAGCTGTGCGTCAGACCTTGGACTAAATTTGTAAGCAATTGAAAACTGAGTTTTAGAAACACAGAGAGGGTTTAAGGAAAACAACATATTGCTGGGGTTTATGGCCGTTTTGGGGAATGGAAATTTGGGGAAGAAAAAGAGAGGAAACTCTCAGTTACTTTACTGTAAAGAAGACGAGGACTGAGAGCTGAGACTAAACAAAAGTCTGAGTGGGTCGTCGTCTTCTCCATTTTTTACCCCTCAACACGGGTATTGACCAGCTTGGTCAAAAAACGCGCAAGTGGAAACGACCTGGAAAATTTGTAACCCAAACAAGTCTGCTAGTATACGAAACGTTCAAGGAGTGACATGTATCTGTTTCTGTTTTTTGCTTTGAATTCATTTCTCTTTGTAAGCAAGCACGGATGGAATTGGAATTTGAACACCTCAACCCAGAAGAGGATTTACAAGCTGCCATACAAAATTGTTGTTTTGCAGAGGTCAAGTAGAAACCAAAACTCATCTATCCTTTTGGTTTGGACATGTAAGCCTTTCTTTCTATGCTCAAACACATGCACAAAGACACCTGTTTGGTATCAAAGATTGAACCTAGCAAAATTCATCATCCAACCCAACTGGCACTGAAATTTTCTATCCTTAAGAACCACAATAAAAATTAAGCTTCCTTAATCTATCAAAACCATGGCTTCTTCTTCATCATCTTCTTCATCTTCTTTGCTGCTCTTTCTCTCTCTACTTCTCCTTCTACCTTATATAACTTCTTCCAATATTATCACCATACCCATCTCACATTTACCCAAAAACCCACATCCAGATCCTTACCAGCACCTCAGCTACTTAGCAAATTCCTCTTTAAAAAGAGCCCACCACCTCAAAAATCCCCAAACTACCCCTCCCCATACCAACACCAAAACCCCACTCTTCTCCAACAGCTATGGAGGCTACTCCATACCCCTGAGCTTTGGCACCCCTCCCCAAACCCTCCCCTTCATCATGGACACTGGCAGTGATTTAATTTGGTTCCCTTGCAGCAAAAACTACCAGTGCATCAATTGCTCCACTTACCACAACACCGCCAAAATCAAATCTTTTATTCCCAACTTGTCCTCATCTTCCAAACTCCTTGCCTGCTTGAACCCCAAATGCGCTCTGCTTCACCAAAAAATTCAGTGCCCAGATTGCTCACTCGGTTCGAAAAACTGTACCCGGGGCTGCCCTTTGTACAAAATCGTCTACGGCTCTGGCACAACAATTGGAATTCCACTCTCTGAAACGCTGCACCTCCCGACCCGACGCGTACCCGATTTCCTTGTGGGCTGCTCTGTTCGCTCTACCCACCAACCCGCCGCTGGCATTGCCGGGTTGGGCCGCGGCCCAGCTTCTCTCCCTTCCCAATTGGCCGTCAAAAAATTCTCCTACTGCCTTCTCTCTCGCCTCTTCGACGACACTAACAAAAGCAGCTCAGTGGTCCTCGTCGGCGGCAAAGACTCCGTCAAGAAAACTAAAGGCGTCAGCTACACGCCGTTTGTGAAAAACCCAGAAGTCCCCAAGAAGCCTTTCTCCACCTATTACTACGTCGGCCTCCGCCGCATCAATGTGGGAGGGCGGCGCGTGAAGATTCCGTACAGATACCTGAGGCCTGACAAGAACGGCTCCGGCGGGACCATGGTCGATTCCGGGACCACCTTCACGCTGATGGCGCATGAGGTGTTCGAGCGCGTGACGGGAGAGTTGGAGAAGCAGATGAAGGGCTACAAGAGGGCGGAGGAAGCGGAGACTTTGACTACGTTGAGGCCGTGCTACAATTTTTCCGGGATCGAAACGCCGGAGTTTCCAAGCGTGACGTTTCACTTCAAGGGAGGGGCTGAGATGGCACTGCCGTTGGAGAATTACGTGGCCCCGGCCGGTGGGAAGGTGCTGTGCTTCACGATTCTGAGTGATAATGGGCCTATAATCTCGTCTGGGCCTTCTATTATTCTGGGGAGTTTCCAAATGCAGAATTATCATGTGGAGTATGATTTGCAGAATGACAGGTTTGGGTTCAAGCAACAGGAATGCAACTGATGTCTTTTCTTCTTTCTTTCTTTTTTTTTTCTTTTTTCTTTTTTCTTTTTTCTATCAAAGAATAAATCTGTGCAAAATGAGAGAATCAAACCCACCTAGTTCATGAGTACATGAAAATAAAAATGATGCGCTTGTGAAGAGGAGAATATCACTGTTGCCGTATGATATCATCAACATCTGGGTGAAAGCATGGAGGGATATGACATTCATGTCAAGATAAAAGTTATCAAACTCCATGTGGTTTGACTTTGGTATGCTCATCTCTCTCTACCATACCTTTCACAAATTTATCTCTAAATATTTGCATATGTTGGCACCAATATAGCCGTAATTACGTTTAATTTTATACATACACAACCAATAAACATGGCTCTTAATTTCTTGCATGAGCTAAAAAAAATTGAGACCCACATTTGCCACATAAGAATTAACAGATTTATTAACGATTTGAGTAACGTAGAGTCTCATTTGTAGGATTTCTATAAATTTAGGTACCGATCAAACGGGTCTTTAAAGATTGAATAAGAGTTTGTAATAACCCCGTCATTTGGGGAATTTACTATAGTTGATATAATAAATACTAACGAAAATGTTGCTCCTTCTATAATTTATATGTTATTGGTTACATAGTAGAAGTACTACTTCTTTGCGAGAAATTATACAATAGTACAGCTATACCACGTCATCCTGTAATACTTTAATTCAAATATTGCCACTTCTCCAATTTAAAAAAGAAATTATTTACTTTTTCACAGCTGGACTTTTACTTAATTTTCATATTTTGAAATAGAATTAGAAAAATAAAAATAAATTAAAAAGTACCATAGCCGCCACCCCTCTCTCTTCCTCTTTTCCTCTCTCTTCTTCCCCTACTCTCTTCCGCTTCACCACTGCCACTATCAGCGGCCAGCCCTCTCTCTTCCCCTTCTCTCTTTCTTTTCCTCCCCTTCTCTCTTCCTCTTTCAAACAATATCGTTATCTTCCATAATGCCCCTACACCTTTCTCTTATTTCTCTCAGACCTAGGGATGGCGGTCATGGCAGGTACTAGGGATTAGGTTCGTTGGGTTGGGGTGGTGCTGCTGTTGGGGCAGTACTCTTTTTTTTTATTATATATATGTTTTTGGTCGAATATATAAATTTATTATCAAGTCTTTTATTTTTCTAATTCTACTTCAAAATATAAAAATTGAGAAGCCCAGCTGTAAAAAAGTAAATCATTTAATTTTAAAAATGAACGCGTGACAATATTTAAGCTGACATGGTATACCTGTACTATTGTATAATTTCTCCTTGTTTGTATATGAAAGACGAATGGAGCTAAATTAAATGCATCAAGTATTACATCTAATTAAATCTGTTTACATTACAGCACTCCCAATAAATCTAATTAAATCTGTGGTTATCCAAGTCTGAGTGGGTGTTGACCAGCTTGTTGGAAAAACGCGTAAGTGGAAATGACTTGGAAAATTTGTAACCCAAACAGGTCTGCTAGTATTTGAGAGGACTTGCTTCTTATTGCTACTTTTGAACTTTTCTGTATCACAACAAACAAGAACCCCAAATCCACTGGAACAAAGCCTTCAAATTGGTAAAACATAAAACCAGAAACTCCCCAATAACGAACTCCACTGCTCGCACTTCGCACTCATCGAACCCAAACTCGCATCCAAGGGAACAACAACCACATATCAAACGAAACCGAATGTGGGTAAAATGAGACTGATTCCACGGCTAAATCCAACATATAAAAAGGCCCTTTCGATCTATATGATGTGCGGCATAAGGGTACTTTAAATGAAACAAAAAACCCGACTCGGCAAAGCACCGAGTCGAAACTCTACCAATCTTCCGATTAGAATTAAGATGCGAACAAGCGTCTGCAAGCTTGGATTGAGGTTGGAACGATTGAGGAAGGAGAAGAGAGGAGTAGAGCAAGTGATATGGGCGAGAGTGATGGGGATTTGGGGTATGAGGACCATGGCAGTGAAAGAGGATGAAAAACCAATATAAAGGTTGGAGATTTCTGTGAAATCCAGGGCTAAAAGGGGTTGGAGAGCAAGGAGAAAACAAAACAACATAAATGAAAGGCTTATTTACTGTAGCGCCCCTGAAACTTCGGTCAAATCTCACTTTACCCCCCCAAAAGTTAAAATGGCCCACTTAACCTCCTTGACCGTGATTTCGTGTTCCACTTTATCCCTCTGCCGTTATCTCCATTAATAACTCTGTTAGTTTTGATGATGTGGCAGAGTTATTTTAGTTTTTTTACCACAAGTGATGATGTGTCATGTGAATGACCCACTTTTTTGTTTAAATTGAATTAAATAAATAATAAAATAATGTAATTATTTGTTTAGTTAAAAAAATATATATAAAAGAAAAATCAATAAATAAATTTTTTTTTTTTTTTTTTTTTTTTTTTTTCGAATCTTTGCTTTTTTAAAAATTAAATTTAAATTAAATAAATAAACTCTGCCCATATCCAACTCTCCCCAAGATCAATCCCTATCCCCTCATCCTTCCTCCTTTCTCCTCTCTCTGCAACCAAACTCTGCACCGTCATCCACAACCACCCAAACCCACCACCACCTATACCAGCCATACCCACCTTGTCTAAAATTTGCTATCATATTCAACATGTCTTGTTTCTTTCTTCTTCCCAATTAGCAAAAATGTTCCACTTAGCATAGAAAATTTCTAGCAGTTCAACAAAAATCCATAAAAGCAATTCCATATTTTTTTTTTTTGGTGAGATGAGGGGGAGGAGCCCCAAAAACAATTACACAACAGCAATAAGGCGGGTTCTATGAACTCCCATCAGATCCTCCTCTAAGTGAGCCCCTACCTACCTAGGAATATCAGCAAAGGAAACAAGTCCCAGATCAAAATTGAAACTCCCCTTAGCCAAGCAGTCTGCAACCATATTCTTCTCACTGTAGACGTGCTTCACCACATAATTATGAATTTGATGCATAAGTTCCTAACAACTGGATAGCAAAGCCAGAGGATGTAAGCCAAGTATATTGGAATTCTGAAAAAGTAGAACTGCCGTAGCAGAATTCATTTCGACAATCAAGTTTTGATTCCCTTTTGCACCAATGGAGCCAGAAGCACATTTGTACGAGCCGTCAACATTAAGCTTTCGTGAAAATTAGGGGCTAAGTTACAGAGCAAATGAAAAGAAACACAAATCAAAATTCATATACTCGGATCAATGAGAGAGATAATTGAGGGATCGGAAGCAAACATGGTAAGGCGTCGGTAATACGCTAGCTTCGCCGTGGTCACCTAGAGCTGTACAAGCTTTTTGGATTTTGTTCACCGTGGAAATCAGGTTCTCTATTGCTGGCTTGGGAGATTGAGTCAGATCGCTTAGATCTGAGGCAAGCTCGAAATGTCTAAGTACTGTCGTTATCATCAGTTTGTGGGGGCATCCAACCACTGCTTGTCAAACTTTGAGGAGAATCTTGCATGCCAAGATACATGAAGGAATTCTTGAGCGGCCCTCTAGGAAGCAAGTTATTGACGAGGACCCTTTGCCAAAGCGAAGGGGAAAAGAGATAGCCGATGTTATCACATGCCCTAATGACTTGCTTGACGATGATGAATTGTGTCACCTATGGAATAATGACCCAAAGCTGCCATAAGCTACTGGGGAACCTTGCACAAACATGGAGAAGGCCTACTGGTGTAAATATTCGAAACCTTCAAGCAATAACACCTCGTGGCCACTTGCTGATGGATGGGAGGATGGTTCAAGCAGCGAAGTATTCACATTAGACATGCTAGAAGAACATCACTTGGGTAATTCGTTTGGTCAGCAAGAAACAGCCGCCATAACATTTCATAATCTCTCAGAAGCTGAAAAAAGTGTGATGGAGGGTTACCTAGGTCTGAAACAAGGGCCTACTGCCTCGCAGGTCCTCCAAAGGAATCCAAAGGTCAAGTCACTCTTTGATCAACTTGGCTTTGGACCACAAGCAAGAGAAGTAGCTACTGTAGCCCTCATGAACATCTCTGCAAAGTATAGTCCTCGTTGCTTCACGACTTCACTGACGAAGATATGGAAGTTCCGTATCCAGATAACAGAAGGCCACTTTATTTGGAGGGTCAAATCAATGATATATTCATAAGGAGAGCCTTGGTAGACACGGGCTCTTCTATCAACATACTACCTCTATCTGTACTCACGGCAGCTAGCATCTCCTTATCTAAGATAGTGCAATCTCAAACAAGCATCAGCAGTTTCAGGAATAAATGCGAGGTTACAATCGGCTACGTCCAGATAAACTTGAAAGTGGGGCCAATCCGGTCGCTTACTAAATTTTATGAGGTAATATTTTATTACTTTGGTAAGTATTAAATTATAATTATAATTGTTGTACTTTTATGAAGAAAAAAAAACTATAGTATTATAATTATTTTATGAAAGTCTATGTTTTATTTAATTGCTTCACCTAGTGCAAATTCATTCTTTTTAATTACATGATTTTGATGATTTTCTTAAAAATTTGCTTTTAATATTAATATTAGTTAATGTTAGTAGCATCTTGTGCATAGCTATCTAAAAATTCATGCATGGGTGTTCTTTTATACTCCACGTAGTCAGCATGTGTCAAACAATTATGCATTGGATGGTTTACTTGTTTATTTACTTGCAAACTGATTTTATGTCAATGAATTAGATGGTTGAGTCATCACTACGTGTCTTCACTATATTTGTTCAAATCCTTCTATTTACTTGGAGTGAAGGAAAAGTTACTTAAGCTTTAAGAAATAAGGAGATGATCCTAAAAGCATTGAAGTTATCTCATAGTTACTGCCCCTGGAATCTTGTAAATACAACCATTGTTTCTTCAATTCTCATTTCCCTCTTCAAAAAAGTAGAGGCAGTAGAACAAGGAAATAAAATAGAAAGTGAGAGAGAAATAGAGATAGAAAGAAGTAGAATTGTCAAGAAAAAGAGTGGGAGACTGAATTTGTGAATGCGGTGGAAATTAGGGAATCGTCTGACAATTCTAGCAAAAAGCGTTGGTGTCAAGGTAGGGATTTCTTGGAGGCTTTTACGGGGATTGATCTAATTAAATTTCATGAGCTCTATATTATGTGTGATATTATAATGGATGTCCTTAATATTATAGTTTGGTTGACGTTCCTTGTATTGGGTGTTTACATATTCTTAACTATTTGAACAATGTTGGCATAATTGTATATACATTGGTGATGTTTTAAGTGGTTACATTGTTGTGAGATACATGGAAGGCATAATTATATCATGTCATGGTTGGAGTTGTTGGATTGAGAAAATAATGATGGAAAGAGGGTAATGGAAATAGTTTTTTGTATAGTTGAGTCTAACTCTTGGCAGGTACCAAGTCTCAGGGATCCCATAGTGCACATGGTTTTTATTGGGTGATTCGGGACTGGCGAAAGGGAGTTAGACAAGATGACTAACAAAAGGTGAATTATGGGATGATTAAAATGGGTGTTAGTTCACATAAATGGGCATTCGGGACCAAGTGGTATAAGCATGGTATGGGACGTGCAGGTCTGCTTGTCCAGTTATATGAATTAACGGGATTAGATGAAGAACATTCATGCATTATTATTATTATTCTTAATGTGATATTTAACTACGTAATTGCATGTCACTTAATTTAGTTATATCAATCTGCTACGGTAAGGTCTCATGTCCCTACTGAGTTGTGGTTGCTCACCCCTCACCCTGTTTAATTTTTCAGATGAATTAGTGGGCAAGAAAAGGAATAAACCAGTTGCCGTTGAATTAGATGAGAGTGATAGAGCTTTATTTATTGTAAAGTTGTAAGATTTTGGATCTATTTTTATAAGAGAAGTTTATTTTAAACCCATGTTTTGGCTTTCTTTTTATTTTATTTTACTTTTTATTTTCTCACGCACCAGGCGCGGGGTTTTCACCGACCCCTAAGTCCGAGGCATGACAATGTAGACGTAGCTTACCATGCTTTACTCGAGAGACCATGGCTTAATAAGCACAAGCTTGTAGTCTCCACCTACCACCAATGCGTGAAAGGAAGGATTGGGATGAGGCCAATTCGTATACCAAGAATTCTACACCGAGGCCCATTATTTGGAGGCAGAATTGTACACCGAATTTATAGGTGCTGGAAGCAACCCATCCAAGACCTTTGGAACATATCTACCTTCCTCGATTGAAATTCGTGACCTTAGCAATGACGAACTTATAACAATTGTTGATAGAGAAAGGAAGATGCACTCGGAGCTCAACAACCTTGCCTACGCCTAACCTCAATGCTCGAAGGTTACGTTACCTGACAGACATAAGGTGTACCACTTATGAAGGGTTTAGGGGCCCAACCGTGTTTTCGGGAAAGCCACAAGTACAGAGGAGAAGTGATGCAAGCAGACAACTATGAAAATGCAGATGACATGACACCACGCCTTGTGCTTTCCAAGAGCCTATGAAGGCACCTAGGCATATGCAAGACGATTCAACAGCAGTAGTGGAGCAATTGGAAACGATCGACTTAAGTGGTGACCCCTCTGTCCAAAGGCCGATCTCCATCAGCGTTCACTTGACAGGCAAAGAGAATGAAGATTTAACTTGTCTATTAAATGAGTTCAAAGATGTGTTCGCTTGGAGCTATGAAGAAATGTCCGGTTTGGATCCAAACTTAGCGAGTCACACTTTGAATATTGAGCTAGGTACGAAACTTGTTGTTCAACCAAGAAGGAATTTTCATCCTGAAGTTGAAATGCATATCAAGGTGGAAATTGAGAAGCTTTTAGCCGATGGATTCATCAAACCGATCAAGCATCCAACCTGGATAGCAAATGTAGTCCCAGTTTAAAAAGAAGACCGACTTGATAAGAATGTGCACTAATTACCGAGACCTCAACAGAGCCTGCCCAAAAGATGAATTCTCACTGCCCAACATGGATATTTTGATCGACTCGACCTCGAGGCAAGGTTTACTCTCATTCTTGGATGGATTTAGTGGCTACAATCAAATAAAAATGTCTCTCAAGGATGTTGAGAAGACAGCCTTTCGAACACCAAATGAGAATTTCTACTATACGGTCATGCCATTCGGTCTTTAAATGTTGAGCTACCTACCAAAGACCTATGACAGTTGTATTCCGTGATATGACGGGAAAAGAGGTGTAAGACTACGTGGATGATCTTGTGGTGAAATAAAAAACTAGAGAAGGCCATCAATAAGTTCTAAGGAGGGTGTTAGGAAGGTGTCGGTTGTACGGATTGAAAATGAACCCAAAAACATGCGCGTTCGGAGTTTCATCTGGCATATTCTTAGGGTTCCAAGTACACCAATGCGGCATAGAAAAAAAAAAAAAAAAAAAAAAAAAAACAGAAGAGGGGCCATCCATCAAATAAAACACTCACTCTACCAATCCATAGGAATTGAAAAGTTTCATGGAAAGACTATCATACATTCGGCTTTTCATCCTTGGCCTTGCCTACCACAATGAGTGTCTTCACTCTTTTACACAAGAAGAGCAAGCCGTATGTGTGGAGCAAGGAGTGCCAAGAAGCCTGTCAGCAAGTGCAACAATTAATCACCAAGCTGCCCACCATGAGGGTACCCATTCCAAGACTTCGACTCAAACTTTATTTGGCTGTAACAAATGCTGCGGCTGGGGCTTTGCTTGCCCAAAATAACCAAGACAAGAAGAAAGCCCTATTTATTATGTGAGTAAACAGTTACGGGGAGCTGAAATGAGGTACCCGAAGACCGAGCTCTTATGCCTTGCCTTTGTTTATGCTGCACAGTGACCGCGACATTACTTCCTTGCTCACAAGCTGCAGCTTATCGTAAATTTTGACCCCGTAAGGTATTTTCTCACCAGACGGGTGTTGTCAGGATGCCTCGCACATTGGTTGCTACAACTATCCGAGTTTGATATCACGTGCATAACTCCTAAAGCTATCAAGGGACAAGCTATGATCGATATGTTGGCCCTATTTCCTGAAGCAGAGGAGTCCACTCTCTCTAAAGAATTTCTGGGAGAGCTGCCGGAAATGGTTTTCATTGCTACGGAGAATGAACCACATACCCTCTACTTTGATGGTTCTTATACATTGAATGGTGGAGGAGCAAGTGTGATACTCATTAATCCGAAAAGGCAAGCCACGACCTTCTCGTTCAAGCTAAATTTCCCATGTAAGAATAAGGTGGCGGAGTACGAAGCTTTTATTATGGGATTTTCTACGGCAAAGGAGATGGGCATAGAAAAGATTAAGATCATTGGTGATTCAAACTTAGTGCTAAGTCAATTGCAAGGGAGCTTTGCTGTGAAATAGGCAACCTTGGCCCCATATCGTACAGCTTCCAAAAAGCTTATTAGTTCTTTCATGAAAATTGTGCTGGAGCACATTCCAAGGATCACTAACAGATATGCTGATGCTTTGGCTACATTGGGGTCAAAGCTCTCATTTGTCAAAGAGCAACCCAATACTACTGTAATAAAGAAAGACATGTCAGGAGGTATTTTGACCCATTGCATAGGGATAACATAAGCACAAAGGAGGTTGCAAGAAGTGCATGAGGCCACTTGCAACCTAGAGCCAGTAATAAGCTTGTATCGGTGCCTGCAACACAAAGGTTACTATTGGCTAGGAATGAAGAGACAAGCAACCAAAATTCAAGCGAATTGCCCCAAATATTCTACGATACCCTCAACCGAAGAATATTTCACCATCTCATTCATAGAAGATTGGAAAGCTCCATACTTAGCATTCTTCATCAAAGGAACTCTACCAACTAACTCCAAACATGCTCACAAGGTTAAGAAGACAATAAAAAGGTACTTCATATACAGATCGACTCTCTACCATAAAGGGTTCAATTGTGAGCCGTTAAAGTGCTTGAGAGAATCAGAGGCACATCAAGTGATGTAAGAAATACATGTTGGAGAATGCGGTGAGCACAAAGGAATAAAGAGGCTTCACCGGCAGCTGCTGAGTTTCAGGTACTACTGGCCTACTATGAAGAATGGCGTACACAACTTTGTGAAGAAGTGCCACACATGCCAAATACACTCCAATCTAAGCCACAAGCCTCCCACACTGTTGCAAGACATATGACTCCTTGGCCTTTTCATACCTGGGGGCTTAACTTAATTGGGACTATACATCCACCTTCTGATGGCTACATATGGATCCTCACCGCCACTGAGTATTTCATAAAATGGGTCGAGACAATTCTCCTTTGAAAGGCCATGAGGGATGCTATCTCAAATTTCATTCTTAAATACATCGTGTGCAGATTTGGATTCTCATACAAAATCGTCACTGACAATGGCACGCCTTTTGTTAACAAGCAAGTGAACTCAACACTTAGTGGCTACAGTATCAAGCATAGTCTCTCCATGCTTCATTATTCACAAGACAATGATCAAGTGGAGGCCACCAACAAGACTTTACTGCGAATTCTAAGCAAAATGGTGTATGAGTATGAAGGGGGTTGAAGTGTTCATCTACCAGATACCTTATGGGCTTACCGCATCTCCCCAAGAAGTGCCACAAGCTTTTCACCTTATTCACTCGTATATGGGTCTGACACCATCTCACCTGTCGAGATCACCATCCCCACTGCTAGAGTATTAGCCGTTAATGACCTTAAATGGGATATGAGGATAGGCTCGGATTAGCGCTTGTTGGAGCTCGAAGCCTTGGACGAAAAAAGAGCGGAAGTTGAAAGGAGGACAGCACGACACTTTACCACAAAATTGTTGCCCAAGCTTATAACATGACAGTCAAGCCTAGAGCCTTCAAGCAAGGAGATCTTGTGCTAAAAGTTTAAGCACGTGAGAAGGCAAGTGTTAGGACCCTCCAAGTTTACCCCCATAATAGGAAGGCCCTTTTGCAGTCAAAGAAGTTTACAGCAGTGGCTACTATCGCTTGGTCTCTGTCAAGGAAGGCACGCTAACAGATCTCATCAACGGTAAGTGGCTCAAGCCTTACTATTACTAAGTTTACCTTGTGTCTCACCCTTTTGTTATTGCATTTATTTCTATTTTAGATATGAACTCCTTCTATATTCTTACCTTATGTTTTTAGAAAAACTTTTGTAAAATGCACCATTATGGTAGCATAGACTTTGAAATGAAAAAAGAAAAAAATCTACTACCTTGGAGTTGTTCCTTTCTATATTTCAAAATTCCCTTTGTGCTATAAAATTAAAAAAAAAGCAACACAAGTGTATGTGGGTATGCATATAAAATTTAAAAGAAAGAAAAACACTACTTAGCAGTAAGCATGCCAAGCAAAGTCACTTGGATAGGATCTTGAACTGTTAACAAGCACCATGCCTAAGCAAAATTACGTAAGGTGTGCAAAGCTAAGCCATGTGCAATAGAATGTGTCTATCATGAAGTGCCGGAACAATGAGACCATTGGTTCCTATTAATAGCTAAGATGACCAGGATGCCCACAACATCCATGGGTTTCACGAGAACCTTGGAAAAAATCATGCACATATTGGTCTGACCCCTTTTTAAGCCATGACAAGAGGGTGCACTTTAGGCCAACCAACTAGACAAGCCATGCCAAAAAATAAAATAAAAATTGTTAAAGTAATATATCGAGTATTTTGTGTTAAGATCCTACAGAAATTTCGGCAGCATGTACCTTGTTTTAAGGCTACCCAACCTGTCATAAAAATTTCAAGCAGTTCAGAAGGATAAAATCCGCCAACCAAGCAACATATTTATATAAGGCAAGTGGGATTACAACATGTCTCAAGTATTCCAGAAATTAAAACAAGTTCCAGCAGTTCAGACATAACAACACCACATTACAAAGTCATGACAGTATGAGTTTTAGGATATCCAAAAGAAATACAGCCGGAGCAAAATAAAGTTACACATGCCAAAGGTGAATACACCTTTCAATTTCAAAAAAATTTACTACATGCCAAGCCAGTTAGCCCCTCACACCAAGCAATGCAACCTACAAGGCAAATAAGAATAAGTGTTAGAATGGACTGGTATTGGAAGATGTTACCTCTCAAGAAAAAGAAAAAGAGTAAAATGGGAAAGAATGAAGAGTCACAAACCTCAAGACCACAGGGTGTAACTGTAACACCCTGACTCCAAATTTAATCCATTATTTAACATATTTAAGTGAAATTACGAAATTGCCCTTGGGGTAGGGGTAATTTGGTCATTTCTTATCCGGAAGGAATTTGGGGAATTTAGACTATAACGTTGCGTAGAGCACGGCGAGAGGAGTCTGTAGAGACGTAATGGGCTTAAATCGGAGCTGTAACGAAGAAGTTACGAGCAAAACATCACCAGTGACAAAATCGTAAATATTTTGAAATGGATTTTTGGTTAAAAGACAGAATTGCCCTCATTTTTCTCTCTCTCCTCCCGCGCGTCTCTCTCTCTCTCCTCTGGTTCGCGACAGCCACCACAACCGGCCACGTTTTAGCCGGCCGTTTACTCATCCGGCCACCAAAGTTGACGGGGCCGATACCAAAATGACCGGGCCGCCGTCCTCTTCCTACCCCAGTCAGGTCCCGTCACCAACCGTCGAGATTTCGCCGGAAAATCGAAGAGAAAAGCTCAGTTTTGACAGAAACTTCGTCGGCTTCGTTCTTCGTCGTCTAGCCGCCATTTTTGGCTATCAAGGTATGGAAATTCATCCCTTTCTCATGATCTAGCTGATGGTTGGGTAGGATTGCATTGATTTTGAGCGTAGGATGTCTGATCTTCGAATTGGATTTCGGCCGGATTTCGGGATGAGATTCCGGCCACTTCCAGTCAGTTTTTGGGGTATGCCCAAGAACAAAAGTGACTCCAAATAGGGTGGTTTACCTAGAGTAGGGGTCTTGAGCCGTGATTATGGGTTTTTCCAGCGATGGGTTATCACTTTAGACACCCACGCGCTACTGGCGCGGGGGCAATGTAGAAAAAGGGCTTTGGGTCCCGATGTGATCTCCTGGTTTTCATGAGCGCGTGGGTTCTTTCAGATTCCAATTCGGTTGACGTTTGAACCCCGAACGGATTACGCATATTGTGGGTTATCCGGGTTCGATAGGTTTGAACCGTTGGATTGACTTCAAGTTATAAGATCGTATAGAATTCGACGGATCGTAAAACGGAGTCCCGGATACTCTGTAAAACAACCCTAGGGCTAGGGTTTTAGTGACTGTCCGATCTGGGCCAAACTTGCAGGACATGTGTCCTAGACCCCGTAGAACCTATTGGAACTTTCAGATCGGAATTTGGAGGTTGTGGGCCCCGCGGGTCCGTTTGACCAAGGGTGGGTAGTTTGACCCCGGGATTGACCGTGAGACTTCCTAGGTAGTGTTACCTTCCCAGGAAGATTAAAATGACCGTAGTGACAGGCCCTGATGTTATGTGGGTTGTGGGGGATTAGCGGATGCTAGATGGTTGTTAAGATGTTTACAATATTAGAATTAATGTATATATTATGCGTGTATACAAAGGTGAAAAGAGTGTAGATCGTCAGTTTGAAGTGTTATATGCACTACCCTATGTACCTCCCCCGAATTTTGATTACACTGTAAGTGCCACCCTGTGATTGTGTTGAGGCCCTTTAAAACCCGTGCGGGCTGGTGAGAATGCAGCCAGGCCCAAAGCGATAGTTAGATGGCTTGTGAGAATGTAGTCAGGCCCAAAGCGGACAGTGAGGTATGCTTGTGAGGTCGCACGTGTTGTAGGAGTAGCCGGTGTTGACAGACCCCATCGAGGCCGGGTGCATCCCGTCGTATGAGGGGTGATATTGTGATTGTTGTGAGGTCACATGTGTCCTAGGAGTAGCCGGCATGTTGACAGACCCCATACAAGGCCGGGTGCGTCTCGTCGTATGAGGGGTGATATTGTGATTGTGTTGAGGTCGCACGTGTCGTAGGAGTAGCCGGCGTGTTAACAGACCCCATACGCGGCCGGGTGCATCCCGACGTATGAGGGGAGATATGTGAGATTGTGATTGGTGAATTGTGATTTAGAGAAAAAGGGTTTTAGAGAAAGAACTACGTGTGGCTTGATCCCTTAGTAGGGTACGTAGGCAGCCTGGGATAGCGCCTAGGTGCAGCCGCAGACTAGGTTTAGTTAGGTGCTTTGTTGAATGGTGCTGACCTTGTCTTGGGTCATGAAACTCGGATGAGACCGAGTTTAGATGTGATTAGATAATTGCTCATACTCCCGTTTGACTACGGAGGGTGGTGTTAGTGTGTTGTGGTTGAATTAGGGTCAAGACCCGGTTGGGTGATAAAATGTGTTTCATCCAGGTGGAAATTTTGGGAAATGTTCAATTTACAGGGGAGACTGTCGAATTTTCGACAGAAAGTCTCGTACCCCTACTCTTTTTTGAAATAGGAGGTTACAGTTAGTGAGGGGCCCGACATCGGGGTGATGTCGGGGTTTCACAGGATTCGTCTCGGGTGCCGGGAAATTCGGGCGGGTCCTGTTAGTAACTAAGAAGAACAGAGGAAGCATCATGAGATGACCTAGCAGATGCTTTAACCACGCATTCGGCACCACTGGCAGCAGCCCTTTTGGCCAAAAGAAAAGCATGCAGTTCATGGCAATGATCCTCCAATTCTCGTTGCTTAAGGCTCAAAGTATCAACTGCAACCTTTATCCCATCAAAACCAATCAACGACTTCATCCTATGGATGGCCCGAGCGCCAAAAACAGCACATGCTAAATCCTTCAGCATGTTAAGAAGAAATCCGCTCGAAATCTCCAAGGCATGGCTTCGCAGATCACATCCCGCCAGCAAAGGAATTTATAATATGTAATGTCTAAGAGATGCATTGTATCCATGCCATAAAGCACCAAGTTGAGAACCCGAAAGGCCGCACTCCTTGAGAAAGCAGGGAGAGAACACCTACTCTCCATAAAAGCCTCATACCTGTCAAAGAATCTGCTCAAAGCTTCAATTGTTTACAGATACACAAAGGCACCCCGAATGTCGCAGAACCTTAAAAACCTGTGGCAAAACGGAAGAAGTTCAGCAATAGACCTGAGGACCTTGATGTCACCATTGAAAAAAGCCTTGAATGCAGCAAACGAATCCTCCCAGTCCAGCCAAGACATGTTGGACGGACACTCAAAATCCCCCCTAAATCTCTCTCTCCCCTTACTTTATACCTTCGTTTCCATAAGAAATTCAAGCTATTTCTCTCTACTGCTAAACTTGTGAAGGCTTAGTTCCCATGCCACAAACTTCTCAAGTCAAGCCATATTGCTAATCTATCACAAGCGTTTGATTTATTGGTGAAAGGAATCTGAAAGTGTTTTCTAAGGCTCCACGAATCTATCAAAACACTCTTGGGCTTGGTTCTCGAACTTAGGCACATGGGCAAATTTATATATCTTTTCTTTAATTATTAATAGTATTCCAATGTTAGATGAGGTTTCATGTTCGAATCTCCCATCATTATTGATAAATAAAAAATTTTAAAAAAACAGTATCATGTCATTGAAAAACCTATCACAATTTTATACTAGAATGGACGTGATTCGATTAATTCGCTCTAGACATTAACCTAATTATATCATTGAATAAAACCAATTCATTTAGTGACTGGTCTGGTTCAGTTATTTTCTGGTTATAGTTGAGAAAATTTCCCTTTGAAAATTGTGAAATTTTGCGAGATATAATACAAATTTGAATGATGTTGAGATTTTATTTTTTGCTACTAAATCGTTGATATCAATGTATGAGATGAAACATATAAGTGAAATATTATAAACCAATAATTGCATTTTGGTTCATTTCAAATCGAAATTACACATTTTTGTGTGTGTAAAAATCGAACTAGACCGTAGTTTGGTTCAAAAATAAAAAAATTCACACAAAATGAATATTGTTATGTTGATTCTATTTTTATTTACTTATCTTTCAATAATTCATAAAAATAAAAATAAAATTAACCCCACGTCTATGTGTGTGGAAATATTTTTCTATTGTAGATAGTGATATCAAATTCTTTCATTTTGTGTCTTTTGATTTTACCTTTAACAAATAGGAAGGAAAGGAAAGAAAAGGAAAAATATCTGGAGTGAGTTTAGACAATTAATTTGACAATAGGAAAGGAAAGGAAAATATTTTCTTAAAATTTTGCATGAAATTTGTTTAGTACTTGACTCACCGAGTTAGCATTTAATTAAAACAGCTGGTGTTTCCGCGTGTTTTTTACGCGCAACAACTCAGCAACTGAGTCACCGAGTTATCACACACCGACCTTTCATTTAACATTTTGAAAACCAAAATAGCGCCACAACAATACATTCCCTCTTCTTTTCGTCTCTGTCTGTTTCTCTGCAACAAGTAAGCGAAAGCGATCGAGTGAGAGTATTGAGTTCAACGATTGAGCGAGTGATTTTTTCTGCAACGATTGAATGAGTGATTTTCTGGGTTCTCTCTCTGTAACGACTGTGTGAAATTTGGGTTCTGAAATCAAGAATGGCGTGGTCTGCTATAAAGCGCAGACATTGGAGGATGATTTTGGCTCCTTTGAGTTTCAGTTTCAGACCCAGAAGAGGATAAGGTCGTCTAGGGTTTCTGAGACCCAACGGAATGTAGCCGTTGAGGAAAAGTCGACCGTTGGTCTTCCTCTGCGCGAGGGTTTGGCTTCGTCTGCTACAAAAAATGCCGACACAGAATCAGAAGATCTGGGTTTTGATGAAATCTGTCAGACCCAGAAGAGGAAGAGGTCTTCTAGGGTTTCTGAGACCCAACGGAATGTAGCCGTTGAAAAAAAGTCGACTGTTGGTCTTCCTCTGTGCATGGGTTTGGCTTCGTCTGCTACAAAAAATGCCAACCGGAATCAAAAGAGGGTTTTGATGAAATCTGTCAAACCCAGAAGAGGAAGAGGTCTTCTAGGGTTTCTAAGACCCAACGGAAGGAAAAGTCGACTGTTGGTCTTCCTCTGCGCAAAGTCAAAGGTTTGGCTTCGTCTGCTTCAAAAGAGACGTTGGATTGTTCTAAGGTCTTGGATTCTCTGATGAACCTCGGCCATGCGAGCTACTTCAACAAGCCTGTTGTTGATCCTGTGGCTGAGAATCTGCGGGTTATTTCGACGAAATCTGGAGGCCGATGGATTTGGGTACTGTGAAATCGAAATTGGAGAGGGGTGTCTACTCCCAGCGCTGATGACTTTGCTGCTGATATCAGGCTTATCTTCTCAAACGCTTTCAGATATTTCCCCCTTGGGAGTAGAAATCGTGCAGCAGCCAAGCATCTCGTGGGGTTTTTGAGACCCAATGGAAAGAAGCCGAGAAGAAAATGTCAAATGCTGCTTGTCCTCCTCCTACTCCTCCTCTGCCCAAACGGAGACCAAATGGCAAGAGCTCTTCTGCTTGTAGGGTTCTTATGCAAAGTCAAGGGGTTGTTGGGGTTTCTGATTCTCACTCAGTTAAGTCAACGAAGATGATGACTTGGGCACCCTTGTTCATCATGCCATGTATCAGCCACAGAAAATCTTTCCCCATGTAAGGCTAGGCGAATTCAGTCGCTCAAGATGCGATTTTCAGGTACAATACGAAAAGCAACAGATACTAAGGGTCTACCTGATCTCCACCAGGGAGAAAATTGATACATCGGATGGAGCAAAGGGAATCGGCTCGCCTTGCTATTTTGAACTGGAGAAGTCCTCCAATTTGAGGACCCTTTAAAGGATCTCAAACAACTGAGCTTCTGTTGCTGTGGCATGAAAAGGTCTACCTTGGATTGCCCAACTTAAGCCTTTGGGTTTGTACCTCAAGGAAGATGACGAGTTTGCAGGGTCAGACGAGGAGCGTTTCTGAATGGGAGATTGAGGCGAGTTCTGCTGGCAGTAAGGCGCTTGTGAGGAACGGTGCAGATCCGCTCATGAAGTACAGGTTAGAGTTTACAAGGCAATGAGGCATAGTTTTACAGCCACTTGCCTCTGTTATTTGTTGTAATCGTAGTTGATTATAGACTACTTTATAGTAATTCCTGATGTTTAGCCGATGCCAGCATTTGGAATATCACCCATTTGCTCGCACGATAGATGACTAGATCTTGCTATTAGGAAATCTCTTTAAGTTTAGCTTTCTATTTGGTACTAGAGGAGTTTCCATGTGGATATAGTTGTCATCTTTTTTTTTTTTTTTTTTTTTTTTTTTTTTTTTTTTTTTTTTTTTTTTTTTTTTTTTTTTTTTTTTTTTTTTTTTTTTTTTTTTTTTTTTTTTTTTTTTTTTTTTTTTTTTTTTTTTTTTTTTTTTTTTTTTTTTTTTTTTTTTTTTTTTTTTTTTTTTTTTTTTTTTTTTTTTTTTTTTTTTTTTTTTTTTTTTTTTTTTTTTTTTTTTTTTTTTTTTTTTTTTTTTTTTTTTTTTTTTTTTTTTTTTTTTTTTTTTTTTTTTTTTTTTTTTTTTTTTTTTTTTTTTTTTTTTTTTTTTTTTTTTTTTTTTTTTTTTTTTTTTTTTTTTTTTTTTTTTTTTTTTTTTTTTTTTTTTTTTTTTTTTTTTTTTTTTTTTTTTTTTTTTTTGGGGGTTCGTAGGAAGTTCGTTCTGAAAAGGAGTGGTTGGTGTATTCCATAGTTTTAGCCATTGGATTTGACTCAAAACCAACCAAATGACTCCTCCCACCATATTATGTTGTTCCCCAAGTTTTGGACTCAATCCGATATCGATTGGTCCATGAAATCGGACTATTCAGGTTCGTAGGAAGTTCGTTCTGAAATGGAGTGGTTGGTGTATTGCATAGTTTTAGCCATTGGATTTCACTCAAAACCAACCAAATGACTCCTCCCACCATATTATGTTGTTCCCCAAGTTTTGGACTCAATCCGATATCGATTGGTCCATGAAATCGGACTATTCAGGTTCGTAGGAAGTTCGTTCTGAAATGGAGTGGTTGGTGTATTGCATAGTTTTAGCCATTGGATTTCACTCAAAACCAACCAAATGACTCCTCCCACCATATTATGTTGTTCCCCAAGTTTTGGACTCAATCCGATATCGATTGGTCCATGAAATCGGACTATTCAGGTTCGTAGGAAGTTCGTTCTGAAATGGAGTGGTTGGTGTATTCCATAGTTTTAGCCATTGCATTTGACTCAAAACCAACCAAATGACTCCTCCCACCATATTATGTTGTTCCCCAAGTTTTGGACTCAATCCGATATCGATTGGTCCATGAAATCGGACTATTCAGGTTCGTAGGAAGTTCGTTCTGAAATGGAGTGGTTGGTGTATTGCATAGTTTTAGCCATTGGATTTCACTCAAAACCAACCAAATGACTCCTCCCACCATATTATGTTGTTCCCCAAGTTTTGGACTCAATCCGATATCGATTGGTCCATGAAATCGGACTATTCAGGTTCGTAGGAAGTTCGTTCTGAAATGGAGTGGTTGGTGTATTGCATAGTTTTAGCCATTGGATTTCACTCAAAACCAACCAAATGACTCCTCCCACCATATTATGTTGTTCCCCAAGTTTTGGACTCAATCCGATATCGATTGGTCCATGAAATCGGACTATTCAGGTTCGTAGGAAGTTCGTTCTGAAATGGAGTGGTTGGTGTATTGCATAGTTTTAGCCATTGGATTTCACTCAAAACCAACCAAATGACTCCTCCCACCATATTATGTTGTTCCCCAAGTTTTGGACTCAATCCGATATCGATTGGTCCATGAAATCGGACTATTCAGGTTCGTAGGAAGTTCGTTCTGAAATGGAGTGGTTGGTGTATTGCATAGTTTTAGCCATTGGATTTCACTCAAAACCAACCAAATGACTCCTCCCACCATATTATGTTGTTCCCCAAGTTTTGGACTCAATCCGATATCGATTGGTCCATGAAATCGGACTATTCAGGTTCGTAGGAAGTTCGTTCTGAAATGGAGTGGTTGGTGTATTCCATAGTTTTAGCCATTGGATTTGACTCAAAACCAACCAAATGACTCCTCCCACCATATTATGTTGTTCCCCAAGTTTTGGACTCAATCCGATATCGATTGGTCCATGAAATCGGACTATTCAGGTTCGTAGGAAGTTCGTTCTGAAATGGAGTGGTTGGTGTATTGCATAGTTTTAGCCATTGGATTTCACTCAAAACCAACCAAATGACTCCTCCCACCATATTATGTTGTTCCCCAAGTTTTGGACTCAATCCGATATCGATTGGTCCATGAAATCGGACTATTCAGGTTCGTAGGAAGTTCGTTCTGAAATGGAGTGGTTGGTGTATTGCATAGTTTTAGCCATTGGATTTCACTCAAAACCAACCAAATGACTCCTCCCACCATATTATGTTGTTCCCCAAGTTTTGGACTCAATCCGATATCGATTGGTCCATGAAATCGGACTATTCAGGTTCGTAGGAAGTTCGTTCTGAAATGGAGTGGTTGGTGTATTGCATAGTTTTAGCCATTGGATTTCACTCAAAACCAACCAAATGACTCCTCCCACCATATTATGTTGTTCCCCAAGTTTTGGACTCAATCCGATATCGATTGGTCCATGAAATCGGACTATTCAGGTTCGTAGGAAGTTCGTTCTGAAATGGAGTGGTTGGTGTATTGCATAGTTTTAGCCATTGGATTTCACTCAAAACCAACCAAATGACTCCTCCCACCATATTATGTTGTTCCCCAAGTTTTGGACTCAATCCGATATCGATTGGTCCATGAAATCGGACTATTCAGGTTCGTAGGAAGTTCGTTCTGAAATGGAGTGGTTGGTGTATTGCATAGTTTTAGCCATTGGATTTCACTCAAAACCAACCAAATGACTCCTCCCACCATATTATGTTGTTCCCCAAGTTTTGGACTCAATCCGATATCGATTGGTCCATGAAATCGGACTATTCAGGTTCGTAGGAAGTTCGTTCTGAAATGGAGTGGTTGGTGTATTCCATAGTTTTAGCCATTGCATTTGACTCAAAACCAACCAAATGACTCCTCCCACCATATTATGTTGTTCCCCAAGTTTTGGACTCAATCCGATATCGATTGGTCCATGAAATCGGACTATTCAGGTTCGTAGGAAGTTCGTTCTGAAATGGAGTGGTTGGTGTATTGCATAGTTTTAGCCATTGGATTTCACTCAAAACCAACCAAATGACTCCTCCCACCATATTATGTTGTTCCCCAAGTTTTGGACTCAATCCGATATCGATTGGTCCATGAAATCGGACTATTCAGGTTCGTAGGAAGTTCGTTCTGAAATGGAGTGGTTGGTGTATTGCATAGTTTTAGCCATTGGATTTCACTCAAAACCAACCAAATGACTCCTCCCACCATATTATGTTGTTCCCCAAGTTTTGGACTCAATCCGATATCGATTGGTCCATGAAATCGGACTATTCAGGTTCGTAGGAAGTTCGTTCTGAAATGGAGTGGTTGGTGTATTCCATAGTTTTAGCCATTGGATTTGACTCAAAACCAACCAAATGACTCCTCCCACCATATTATGTTGTTCCCCAAGTTTTGGACTCAATCCGATATCGATTGGTCCATGAAATCGGACTATTCAGGTTCGTAGGAAGTTCGTTCTGAAATGGAGTGGTTGGTGTATTGCATAGTTTTAGCCATTGGATTTCACTCAAAACCAACCAAATGACTCCTCCCACCATATTATGTTGTTCCCCAAGTTTTGGACTCAATCCGATATCGATTGGTCCATGAAATCGGACTATTCAGGTTCGTAGGAAGTTCGTTCTGAAATGGAGTGGTTGGTGTATTGCATAGTTTTAGCCATTGGATTTCACTCAAAACCAACCAAATGACTCCTCCCACCATATTATGTTGTTCCCCAAGTTTTGGACTCAATCCGATATCGATTGGTCCATGAAATCGGACTATTCAGGTTCGTAGGAAGTTCGTTCTGAAATGGAGTGGTTGGTGTATTGCATAGTTTTAGCCATTGGATTTCACTCAAAACCAACCAAATGACTCCTCCCACCATATTATGTTGTTCCCCAAGTTTTGGACTCAATCCGATATCGATTGGTCCATGAAATCGGACTATTCAGGTTCGTAGGAAGTTCGTTCTGAAATGGAGTGGTTGGTGTATTGCATAGTTTTAGCCATTGGATTTCACTCAAAACCAACCAAATGACTCCTCCCACCATATTATGTTGTTCCCCAAGTTTTGGACTCAATCCGATATCGATTGGTCCATGAAATCGGACTATTCAGGTTCGTAGGAAGTTCGTTCTGAAATGGAGTGGTTGGTGTATTGCATAGTTTTAGCCATTGGATTTCACTCAAAACCAACCAAATGACTCCTCCCACCATATTATGTTGTTCCCCAAGTTTTGGACTCAATCCGATATCGATTGGTCCATGAAATCGGACTATTCAGGTTCGTAGGAAGTTCGTTCTGAAATGGAGTGGTTGGTGTATTGCATAGTTTTAGCCATTGGATTTGACTCAAAACCAACCAAATGACTCCTCCCACCATATTATGTTGTTCCCCAAGTTTTGGACTCAATCCGATATCGATTGGTCCATGAAATCGGACTATT